CAGCCTACTGTTCAGCCAGAAAGTCCCTGAATTCTTGTCACATGACTGTTAGTTACAGCTGAGTCTCTAATTGCTTCCCAGAATCCGTTTTATAGAATTGGTTTGTGCAGTCATTTAGGTTGGCAAATTTCTTAGATAGAATGTGTAAATAGAGTTGATGAATTGTCATGATTTCAAGCTTAGATTTTTTAAATTTTACTGGTGGAACTGCACATCACACATAACTTTGTCACAGAGTTAAAAATCTGACAATTTCTGGCTCTGATAAACGGTGCAATTTTGACATTTTTTTTTAAAGATAACAGCTGGTTTTGGGGTTCAGAGAGTTAAAGAGCCAACTTAGGAGCGAATAAGTTCGTCTCTGAGTGTGAACAGTAAGTCACTTTTATTAAAAGCTATTTATAGCAAAGTGTAGCCCAGTGATCATATGCATAGCCTTAGAGCACAAATAGCTGGACATAGTAATTACTTGACATCTGCCATATTATCCAGTGTCCTCAACATCACCACTGGCTAGCAACGTGTAAATTACCAATGATCTTTTCTGCTTTTGATGCACAAATATATCGGTACAATATGGTGAAACGGTAATCGTACAGTATGTTAGGAACAGTTTGTCCCAGTGTAAACAAGAGGTGACTGCAAACAATATAAATGCTAGATACTTGTTGCTCCTACTTGTAGAAATTACAAACTGGTCTAATTGGCTATAATTGCTTCAAATCAAATTTGTCGTCGTATGTTGCGCAATCACTACAAAATACGTCTCAGAAGGTGTGCGACCATTCAGCAGCTACAATATACTCTTAACCAGATAATACAAGCTGAAGTAATATAAAAACAGGTAAAACGTGACGTAGTAAAACTATGGATGAGGTTTAGAGATCATACAGAAGTTGACAGGGAGTGGGAGTGTGTTGCATGAAATCCTTAGTTTCACATTCAGCAGGTTTGTCTCACTTCCACGTACTTTGCTTTTTAAGACTTCAGTTTTCTGTGACCAGTCTTGTGGGCTACATGTTGTTGATTCAATAAGTGATTTTTATAACCCACAACTTTATGGGTCACTTGAGTGGTTTGTAAATGCTGTATAATCCCTTACCTCTACCCCTTTCTCCATCCACTGCCGTCACAATGTAAGACTCAGAATGAGGAACTCGCTGATATTGATGAGGAGCAGGAGTGAGCTTGACTTGTATTTGCTAGTGTGGTAAGTGTGGGGAGGCCTGTGATGAAGGCTGAGGAGTGCTTCTTGAAGTTTTACCCCTGGATTTGACAAGCAAGTGTGTGCTTTCAGGTGTGGCATTTCATGGTTTTAAATTGTGTGTGTGTGTGTTTAAGCAAATATGTGCAATAAGCAGCACATAACAACAGTGACGTGAATATTGGTTTGTGTGTGTTTGCAGTGGAGTTTCATGCTTTCTGTGTTGTGCCATCCCACTGACTGACTGGTCTGTGTCACTAATCTCAGGGCAACAGTACAGAGCAGAAAGGAGATAAAGCGTTGGTGGAGAGGAAAGGCTCCAGAGAGGATTACCAGCACCACCATCACCACCACCACCACCACCATCACCACCAGAGCCTGGACCAGGCCGACGCCGACGCAGAGGCTGAGGGGGAGGGCAACGAGGAGGAGAGGCCCCTCAGGACAGAGTCCTCCAGGAGAGCCCAGCACATCCACCACCGGTCGTCCTCCACCAGGACTGAGCACCACAACCACCATCACCACCACCACCACAACAGCAGCAGAGCCAGGGGCCTCTCGCGGCAGGAGACTTTGGACTCTGAGACCCCCGAGAGCCGAGAGAGCAGAGAGAGCAAGGACTCGGCTTATATCGAGCCACGCACTCAGCTCCTCCACCAGGAAGAGGAGGAGGAAGAGGAGGAGGAGGAGGAGGAAGAGGAGGAGGAGGAGGACGACGAGGATCTAGGGGAGGGGCACCCCCAGCAGCAACAGCGTTACGAGCCGCTGCCCCACCGGGACCACAACCACCATCACCACCACCACCACCACCGCAGCGGGGCGGACGAGGCCGGCCACAGCACGGGACACCACCGCTCCAAGGAGCGCGAGCAGGACCATAATGAACGCAACAAGCAGCGCTCTCACCACCACCACCGGCCGGCACGCGACCACCACCATCACTACTACGACCGGGACAGAGAGAGGGACCGAGAGGGGGAGGTGGCTCCCAAAAAGAGGGGCGAGGCAGGGGAGTGGGCCAGAGACTCGTACATCCACCAGTGACAGACCAAACCCCCCCATCCCCCGAAGCCCATCTGGACTCTGCTCTTCCAGACCGTTCTGTTCTCCCATCGTGCTGCTATACCCCGAAAACCACAGCATCCTATTTATGTACACTTCTTTGTAAATGCTGTTGCATCTTTTTCAATGGCAGGATTTTGATTACATAGATACAAATATAAATATATAAATATATGTATGTGTGTATCTATGCATAGACGTTGTTTATGTGTGGATATGCATGAATATTCTCAAATATGCATATTTTAAACCTGTGTTTGATAAAGCATGACACGAAAGCAGAATTTTTTTCTGTACTGAGCTGTGCTTTCTGTGATTAGCATTATTATTTTTATTGTTTCTATTATTGATTTTTATTGCTTGCTACCACTTGAATAATTTGTTCCTTCAGACTACTGCGAGGGTTGACTGCACAGGTTGACCAGCCAACAGCTGTATTTGCAGAAAAGTTTGGCAATCTGGGAAATACGCTTATTCGCTCACTTAGACTTAGACTCAGTTTCCAGTTTATTAGGCACCGAGCTGAAACGAATCCACAACGGTTCTGCAATAAATCCTCCCTTCATGAAAGTTACAATGCTCAGTTTTTGTTGACGCAGTTTTAAAGAGGTGTTGATTCAACTTTATGATCATTTTAGAGGATGTGATTCTGTTGAATTGTATCGGAATAATACTGTTTCTATTGTTTTGTCCACACTTTTTATAACGTTGAGGATAAAGCTACGTAACAGAAGCAGCTTTCAGTATACATAATAGTTCAGCAGCACCACAAACTGCAGCCTCGAAAAGAATCAGAAAGCAGAGCTGCAACTCACCGTTATTGTTGATTAATCTATTAATTATTATCTGGACTAAAAGATTCATTGTTTGGTTGAATCTTTATTTGGCTGCTTTACTGTAAAAGAGGAGCAAAAAAAAAAAACATTCAAATTTAAGAAGGCAGATTTTTTTTTCTTAAAGGTTGCTCAAACCAATTATTTATCAAATTATCAGTTTAATAGTTGACATCTAATCAATGCAGCTCTTACATAAAGTTGAATCAACGCCTCTATGAAATACAAAAATGTAATATTATAACCGTTGTGACTTGTTGCAGAACTGCTGTATTTGACTGCGTGAGTTTTAGCTACATGTGCCCAATGACCTGAGTACATATGAGAAGATCGATACCACTCATGTATCTGTACGATGAATTGGAGTAAGTAGCCTGTAGCAGGTTAGCTTAGCACAAACTGGAAACACAGATGTTAGAGGGGAGAGACTCGCCACTTAAAAAACCCAGAATAGAAGATTATAGAATTCCAAAATCCTAAAGATAATAAATAATAACTTTATTTATGCACCAACCATTGAGATACAGTTAAAACGAAAGCATCACAACACAGCAGCCACAGCGCCTTCCTGTAGAGGAACAAAATTGCCTTTACAGACTTACCCAACAATTATAAGTATTAAATAATTATTCATCCCTACGCTGTTATTTATTGTGTAAATAAGATGGCGCTCGACTTAGTCAACTGTCGAACAGGGAAACATGCTGCCAGTCGTAATGATGCACTGATGCAGGTGTCATGAAACTGTGAGTATGTGTAGCTGGAGTGTAACCTTTGTGGAAAACACTTTTAAATCTTATTCTGAGGCAAAGTCACAGAACTTTTTGAACACTTTTAATCAGATTTGACTGGTGATTAAATCCATGTAGTTTTTTATTCTTGCTTCTGTGGCCACTGAACTTGCAGTAATGGCTCTCTCCATTCATTCAGACAGGGACCTGGTGTTGTTTACCTGAGATAATAGCCAGGGTGTGTTACCAAGATGGATGCTGAGTGGTGAGACCTGCCTGTAAGGACTTTGTAGGAGAGCACGGCTCGTCTTGCTGTCTGAAGGTAAAAAAAAAAATTAAAAAATGCCAACCAGCACTTCCAAAAGTTCACTCATTACCATATCTTGGTTCTTCAATCTATGAAATAAACCTAAAAACAAGTGGTCCAGCTAACTGGCTGCTAGCCGTAGCTTCATATTTAAGAGACACATACTAGAGTGGCATCAGTCTAACTCTCGGCAACAAAGTTCGTGAGCCTATTTCCCAAAGTGTCAGACTGCTCCTTTAATTTTATGTTCATCATTTACTGCTTAGGTCCTTTTTGTATTCTGCGTCCGATTCAGACATTTGGTTTTGACATATTTATGCCTCCTTCGAGGCGCACCTTGGTCTTGCCTTACAAGACAAACTACAGTAACTTCCTCTCTTACATGCAGTACTGTTCTTTGTATGGGTCCAGAAACATTTTATAACATTGGTACACCCTTTATTCTGCACTTTTACTGATTCACATTGGTTTCAAGTGAAAGCTATTTGATATGACATTGCCACTTACTGTAGGTCTACTACCAAAACTCCGTTATGGTTCATCTTTTATTAAGTCTGATCCCTTTTCTAATGAATGTTGTTTAATTCCCACTTTAACTCCCACTTCTTAGTACAAAGAATGTTCATTTTAGGAGAATTTTGTTCGGTATGTTCTTCACTTAAAAAAAATTAAAAGATGCATTTGCAAAACAAACTCAAATAATTCCAGATACAAATAGTTGTTTTCATCATCTTTCCGCCATCTGTTCACCCCCCCTCACTGATACACAGGATCTATTTAATGCAAAGTGAAGGAGTTTGGGATGTTGTAGGAGCCTCCGCATGCTCTGTGTGTTCAAGAGTCAATGATATCATGTGTTCATTCATGATACTAGGAACTGAAATGGAGTTCAATTGATCTTAGGTTTGAGCCAGTGCACTCTGCCCCTCTGTTTACACACCATCTCCTCACGTTCTTTGTTTTTGCCTGAAAATTGTAATTATAAAAACTCCTCCATTTCTATGCTACATTGGTAGCACTACAGATTTTATAACAGTGTACATGTGTATGTACATAATGCATAAATATAAAAAAAAATAAAGTTGGCAACAAAGGACTGATGTGGCGGGAGAAGATTTTGATGTGTGTTTTGTCAGAGGACCCAGACAGAGGAGGGAAGCGGTGTCTATAAATAGTCATCTGAAACTCTTCTGAAAAATTGAGGTAGACTCACCGGCCTGCCTCCTGAGTCGTCATGACAACCTCGACATGAATGACAATACTGAGGGGATGCATCTAAAATAGGAAGCTGCTTCTCCACACACAGCTGCCTCCGAAATAGACAAACAAGCGCCTTCGGAGATGCAGCCGGCTTGATCTCAGAATTTTTAATGTCGTTAAAAACAAAAACCTCAACATCTTCGCAGCGAGTCGAGCAGCCATTTTAATCCACATACAGTAAAATGCACAGATGCGGGGAGGTGAAGCGCAGGCAGATGTGGACTGTAACAGTGCGATGGTATTCCCAGGAAGAGGGATTGAGCCGAGGTCATTGTGAAGGTCCTCAAAAATGCTGCGTGACGAGAGAACAGGCCAGATGTTTGTGCACTGCAGGCACAAATCTATAAATTATGCTCAGTGTGCAGACCTAAAATCCCCATATTTAGCATTTGTTTGCAGCATATGAAGACGTAATAAATGATTTATAACACACTTTAATGCAGTTGTACTGTCAGCAGATGAACTTTTTTTAAAAACAAAAACATTTTCATCATCTGTTGGTTATTTTCGCCAACAGTTTGGTCCATAAAAACCTCAGAAAGCTTTGAAAAATGCTGATTAAACGTCTGATTTGGATCCAACAACTATCCAGATGCTAAAATATTCTACATGAGATAAAAGCAAGAATTGTGGTCAATTCTTAAACTGGAATTGAAATTTTTGGCTTGAAAATGTAGGTATTGAGCAGCTCTCACATGAACACAATATTGAGAGTTAAAATTCTACTATTTTAAATATTTCTCCACAGAATAAGTTAAAGCTTTTGACAAATACTGTACAACATTAAACTTACAAATTTAGAAATGTTCGCTTGTAGCTGCATTATGGTGTGTTATGAAGCATTAGCAACAGTTAATACACAGAAGGGACTTATTTATGCTCAGACAACAATGTGCAGCTGTTAAATATTTAACAGAGTTGACAAGAAGCTGCCTTTTCATGTGCTTTCATACTGGAAAAACTGAGCGTAACTCGGTGCTGGGGAGCGCTCTGATTCAGACACCAGCGTCACGTCTTTCTCTTTCAGGCAGCACAAGTGCTAATTAGCCGTCCCAGTCGTCTCCTGCGCTACTAAAGACACTAAATTGTTAATACCTCTCATGACCTCCTTCTGCACGCTACTTCCTGATCTACGCTCCCGGATCCAGCGAATCCACTGTCACCATGGCAGCTGTGTCGTCACTGTTGTTATGGCGACACTAGCACTGCTGCATTTGCCAACACTCATTCAGTCTCCATCCCCACGTGCCCCCCCTCCCTCCCTTCCTCCCCCTCTCGCCCCTCTCCCCTGCCCTCGGTGTTTATAAAGCTTATCCCTATATGGCCCGCAGTTTCAGAGAGCAGCTGTTAAGAGGCAGATGCTGTAAACAGCACAGTGCGCACTTTGTCAACACTTGCCCGTCAAAGCACACACAGCGCTGCTTTATAAACACCATTGTTCCCGTCTTGCGTGTCTCCTGTGAGGAACCGAGCGAGAAAACAAGCCCTCCGGTCAGTTTTTCAGGAACTTGGCGATGAAAAAGCCAATAGTGTCCCCGTCGGCTCTGCAGGGGAAGGGGGTTGTAGTTTCTGTCTGGTCCCAGCTCAGCTCGGGGCTGAACCTCTGGAGGAGGCGCAGCTGCTCAGGTGACAGTCCGGCTCCCAGCATGCCCTCTGCGCCGATGTGCGGCTCCTGAGAACGGCAGGAAACAAGAGCGTGAATCTGCGATGTTTCTTGATGGTTACTTGAGAGCCGTCCAGGTGGCTGAGGTGCTTTTACCTGTGGCTGAAGTGTGAGGCAGGGGAAGGTCTTCAGGGCCCAGGCGACCTGCTCCTCATTCTCAGCCAGAGTCACTGTGCAGGTGCTGTACACCAACACGCCGCCTTTCTTCAACAACCGCACCGCCTGCAGCAACATGGAAGAGTGCATTTAGAATTACAGCAGCTGTAATCAATACTTTTTATAGTAATGTAGCACAATGTGACCACGTGACAGCAGTTGTTTGTGATGATAAAGGTCCACTCAGCTTTAGAGAGTTTTAAAGTGAGTTTTTGCTTGAGCTTCAGAACCCAGCCTGCAATTTTTACTGTTTTGGTTCACTCTCACTGCTTTCATAGTGGCCAAGCTCTAAAAGAACAATATGTGTTCAATATCCTGAGTCAACAATGAAAAAGCCCTAGAAAACCGCTGTGCGATACTTCTAAACAGATGTTATCCAAACACATATTTACCAAACTGACTGGTAAGTCTTCACTCTCAGAGTCTTGTAAAACTAAAAAAATGAAGGTTAAAAACACTCCAGTTTAAGCATAAATCTCTCAATTTGTGTTCATTTTAAAGTTTTTCTTTAAAAATGTGGAATAGGCTTGTTGCTGCCTCTTGTGGTCATTGTTGGTAAAACATCCTTAAACTACATTCCTCACCAGCAATCTAGTCTCACATAAGAGAGACTAGCCTCATTATTATTCTGCTATATGGGCAAGAAAATGGGACAATTTGGCATATTTTGATTTTTTTTTTTTAAGCGAACACGGTCGTCTAAAGCGGTGCTAAGCCCAGGATGTAGTGATGGTGCTCCTGCAAAACAGTGATGAGGGGAATTGTTTAGGTGGAACATTTGCATGGAGACAGACAAAACTGCTAATTCACAGAAAAAACTAAACAGACCTGCTTTGTTGCACAATTCAAGTTATTGGCAAAAAAAGGAACATTTTCAGAGATTGTTGTTGCTTTTTGTAACAGGATAATTGAAAGTGGTAACACGCGGATAGCAGACGAGGAGGAAAAAGTTGCAAGAAATGCGTGACGGCTTATACCCGAAGTCTACATGTGGTGAGTCTGACTAGTAGCCATCAAGTACCGGTAGGTTTTTTATTTACCGCCCTCCAGTGGGCCATAATGAGTCCATTATGTTTCAGTGTAACAGTGAGGCAAAGAACACACCACAGCAGAAAACAGAATTTACTTAAATCGTGCCTTGGACCTGTTAATTAACGGGAACAGCAGCTAACAACAACTGGATGCCAAACGCAAAGATGCAGCTCAGCTTAATGAAAATTGCTCCTCTGACCTACGAGCCAAAACCAGTTAGTAGCTGCTCTGATTGCTCCTGCTTTGTGTGTCCACTAACACGTGCACATTATTGTTTTCCTGCTGTAGAGCCCTTCACATGAATGCTTTCTGATCAATACCACCCGCTGCTGAAATTTGTGTCCATTCTCGCTCCAGCACAATACAGAGTTCTATTGATTTTTTATCTTCTCCCAACCCGCAGTGGCAGTTTTTAGTGATTATTTTACTGGCTGGTATTAATAAAGAGATGCATAACTATTGGTAATGATAGAGCAAAATTGCAATTACATTTGGAAGAATTTGTTGTTGTTGAAAGGTATACATTGATAGTATCTAGTCCCATATGTGCAGGAGGAAGTGTTTCAGCTGACTCTGACCTGGGAGAACAGAGCAGATTTAAGCCTGCTGCATATCAACACTTGAAGTCTAGTTGTTTTTCACCGGTAAGAACTGCAAAATGTCAGACTTGCTTTGCTTTTGTAGCATAAAAACACAGTTTAATCTTCTTTTTAGCTTCATTTGTTGAATTTAGCCTTGTGGCTGCAGTAATTCCTGGAACCCGCAGTTTGTTTTTTGACAAAAACAAAAAAACAGAGCAAAGCTAAAACCACTTGCTCCCGCGAGATTTGCTTTGCAGTGTCAGTGCGGTCTTCTACGCTGCTTCCCCCACCCACGTTGGTATGACGTAACTTAAATTGAATTTTCTCGGGGCTGGCGATATTTTGCAAACATTAAACCTCCACGGATTAAAAATTAATAACACAAAGAGTAAAATCCTACATTGTTTGCAGTTTTATGTGGCCTGTCTCCGTTCTATTGGCGATTTATGGGGAAGGAATTTTTTCGTTGCAATACAACAAGTTACTGCCTGGAAAAACTAGCAGCAGGGTGAAGTGGAGGCACCATATCAGCTCTCTGAAACCCAGAACGAAACAGCAGAGAAGCAAAGTTAGTCACTAGTTGCTGAACATAACGTCACATTTAGCAGCTACAGAGCCACATATCTCCCTGTGGAGTTGGTAGAAACCAAAAACAGAGCTAAAAGAGGGTGGCTGTTGGACTTAAATTCATCTGATGAGCAGAAACTGGAATTTAAATGCTGCGCCGTAACTGCTGAATGTGTAAAACACCAACTGTCGGCCGATGATTTCACCAAATAAAAGCCGATGACATGTCAATGTCCTGCGCAGTGGCCTGTGATCGGTTATCACAGGTTTAACTTTCACCTGTCGTGTAATTCAGAGTCCGTCAACATATTGCATTCAAGCCCTTGCACACAAATCTTCCACAAAGCCATCTTTCTTCAGGCTGCATGCTGAATAACCTTGAGGAAACGCTGGTGGACACTGATGGAGCACCGCATGTCACCGGGATAAATGATGACCTCTGCATTAGGCTCCATCCAGTGGCCAACTTAACGCAAGAAATCCAGCCCAAAAACACCTCACATTCCAACGACGATCACCGGAGAAATCCTGCATAAGTGTTTCCTAGAGCTGCTTCTCTCACTCAACAGTCACCACAAGAGATTATTTTTATACAGTCGGGTCTAAAAGTATCGGGACGGTGGCACAATCTTCATAATTTTGTCTCTGAACACCAACACAATGGATCTGAAATGAAGCAATCAAGATGTGATTGAAGTGTGGACTTTCATCTTTAATTCAAGGGGGTTTAACAAAAATATTGCATTAACCATTAAGGAATTACAGCCATTTCTGACACTGTCCCTCCATTTTCACACACTCAGAAGTAATTGTAGAGTTAACTGATAAGCAGTTTCACGGGCAGGAGTGGCCCGCTTCCTCGTTATTTCCTGACAAATTAGGGAGACAAACGGTCTGGAGTTGATTTCAAGTGTTGAGCTGAAAGACTTCAATCACATCTTGATTGCTTTGATTCAAACCCACTGTGGTGCTGCAGAGAGGCGAAATTATGAAAAGTGCGTCACTGCCAAAATACTTTTAGGAATCTGACTTGTAAATCTGTTGGCACTTCTTTTATCTGAGCTCCAAGTTGTACCTGAGCGACTTGACTGGAAATAATGTGTTAAAATAACAAAATATCAGCATCAGTGGATCGAAAACCACTTATTTAAATTGGAAACTAGAGACATTTCTGAAACTACTTGTCAGACAAAATAACTTTAGTAAAAATCATTTTGAGGTGGATTTCCCCTTTAAGATGTGGCTTCAAGCTGTGGATCAAACTGCATGTAAAATCTGTCCGATGCTGCCACCTACAGGCCAACATGAGAAACTATCGGTGCCAAGACAAACTGTCAAACTGGTGGAGGCAGAAGATACAAAGGATGTGAAAGATTGTTTATCTGTGTGACATAAAACCTACAGCATGAAATAACTTGCGCTGCAGCGGCGGGTAGGAGCAGATCTCCTTGAGGCTCCAGGTCATGCCCATGCTGGGTCTCTGTCCAAGGCCGCTGCAGGGAGCGTCCAGCAGAACCCGGTCAAAACTCTCAGGAGGGAAGGGAGGTCCTGTATAGACACAGAGATGATAGATATTAACTATGTTGAGTCAGACAGGAGGGAAGGAAAGGCTGAAACTCTACTGTACCTTCAGATTCCTGTGCAGAGTCGCTGCTCACCGCCTGTGTGCTGTTAAAGCAAAAAGCTTTGACGCTTTGCAAATGCAACATCTGTGCATTTTGACGAATGCGATCGATCTTATTTCGGATTCTGTCCAAGGCCACGACTTCTCCCTGTGTGGGAGAGAAAGACACACAAGTTATTAACAAAACACTGAAGGCTTCAGTTATGAGCAGGAGTGGAGGAAACATCTGGATTCTTTACCTAAGTATAAGTACTAATGTTATCATTTAAAGCAACTCTGTTACAAGTCCTGTATTTAAAATGTCAATGAATGTTAATTCAGTGGTAATGTCAAGCAAATTTTTTACTCCTACTCTGAGTCAGAAATCTCCACTTCAGTATTATGTACATACAACAAACCTTCCAGCTTTATTCCTCACGATATTCTAAATGTTTTTACAGAAAAGCTTGCTTATACGTCATTCCTGACCTGATTTATAGAACATTTTATTCCTAAAAACATACGTTTGCCTCTAATATGTGGACAAAATGAAGCAGATAAATTTAACCTGACTTCATCCAGTGTTCAGATTTGTGTTCTGCAAATGAATGCAAATTGGCATGTATTTAATTAAACACTTTATTTGCCTATTCAAACATAAAATTTCAGAAAACTTGAAACACAAAAAAACTGTCTTAATGTAAGGGATCAAACTAGGGTTTACTAAGTTTCACAGTAATATCTTTTCACAAAAATTTTCCTCTACTCACCTGTAGTGTCTCCACCTAATTTAGATTAATTTGTTTTCTTAGATATTTCACAAATGAATATCAACAAGAGAGACAAATAAAGTTGCACCACTACAATTAGAAAAAAATAAATGTTTAAAAATATCCTTGAAACAGATTAGGTTCTTTGAAACATTCCAACTTCACTTGAGAAGTTAAAAAAATAAACAAGAAAAGTGGAAAACAAGCTTCTATGAACTAGTATGAGTTTTGCAGTGAGATTCTGATGAATGATAGTAATTGGGAGGAAAACCTTGAATATTAACTGCTGTTAGAGGACATGTGGTACCTGATCCTTCATGAGAGCGGCGATGTGGCAGGTCTTCCCTCCAGGTGCAGCACACATATCCAGGATTCGTTCTCCGGGTCGAGGCCCGAGCACGTGTCCAACAACCACAGAGGGAAGGTTCTGCACCACATAGAATCACGTCAGCGTGAGCAGCGATGTGTGTGGATCACTTACAGGTAAAAACACACGGCTCAGATTAACACTTTGTCACTGAACTGCTGGAGGGCTTTTAATTAGAAACGATTACACGAAGTGCTGAGTTTGTAGCAACCCTCTGAACCCCAACAGGGCATTATTGGCATTTTTAATCACAGTGGGCCCATTTTTCACTGCAATTTAAAGACCTGCACCTCTATGGAAACAGCACAACCATGACTGGAAGGAGAGCGAACTGAGAAAATGTATTTTGTGCAGTATGACACCATCATAATGTCAGAAATCATAAAGAAAAGAATAAAACAAAAACGTATTTCTTTGTTACTTTACAAAATTTGCAAAACCTAGAATCAGCAGGTACAACATTTTTCCAAGTGCCCACAAGTGTTACCAACTCTGGAAACAAAGGGTGATAATACATTTTATTAGACAGATATTTTACTACCTACATTTTTATTTGGGTTTCCGTACTAGCCTGCAGTTCAGCTGAAAGATCCCTGATTTGTTGTCATGTGACTGTTGGTTGTAGCTCAGTTACTATCAACCACTAAAGAATTTTAGTCTTTTACAGAATCTGGTTAGTATAAATGATTTAAATAACAAAATAAAGTGATTTTGATTAGACGTTTTAAGCTTAATTTTATTGAAGTTTGCTAGTGGAATACCAAATCTCTCGTTATTAGTTCAACGACTGTCGGAAAGATGAAAACCTGATGATTGTTTCAGTTTCAGCAGTTTCTGGCTCACATAAATGGTGGAATGTTGCCATTTTGGGGTTCAGTCAGTTAATGAAACTCCAACTTTGTCCCAGTTCATCTGCTAAACCAATCATCATTCTGGATTTAATAGAGTCTAATAATAGAAATACCTGTAGGAACGCCAGGCTGGGCAGAACGCCATCAAAGGAAGGACTCCGGTACAGCGGCTCCACCATCCGAACACCAACACCTCTGAAACCACACAGTCACACGCTGTTCAGAAGACTGGTGAAACTTTTTTGTGTGCATATGAGTGCATCATTTGTGTTACACTGCTGCCACATCCAGGATCCTGATTTGCTTTTTATTCAGTGTATTTACTGCAGCATCCTTCTCCTATTACACTGAAGCCATCAAGGACTGTTCATGGGCCACATATTCAACCCTACAGAGTGAAACATGTTTAAAATCTGAAACTAAGTCTCTGTACCTGGCAGGTTCATCCGTGCAGAAGATACTGGATCGACTCATTTCCGCAACTCCGTTTCCCACAAACACCTTCTTCCCCTGAAAGCTCATCGCTCCTCGGGTGCACCTGCCCTCCACGTCAGAGAAGACCGACACCACATCCCCTGGCTTCATGTCTGAGAACAAAAACCCAGCACAGGGAGCATAATCAACAAAGTGAGACGCATGACAGTCTGACACAAGTCCAGATGTTTTGAGATTCCACAGAGCCACTGATCTCCACGGGGACTACACTGTTTTTCAAAGCATCCTTACTTCACTTTCAGTGCCTGAAACCTTTGTGCAGCACAGTATGTGTGTGATTCTTACACTTGGGGCAGGCGACGATCCCCGGGGCGAAGACATGTGCTCCTCTTAGCACGGCGCTGCCACACTGAGCGCCGACTACCACCTCTGAGCTGAGCTGCTCCACAGGCCTGAAAACACAAGAGATCAATCACACACACATGCATGCACAATAATTACAACACTTTTAGCACCGTCCTTTTCTTTGTGCTTGGGTTTCTGCATAAAAATGCTGAAAATAGAATTTTAAAAAAGCGGAAGTCATAAGAAATAACAAAAAAAAGCCACCATCTACATGAATCTACAACACATTTATCGTGCTGTGTGCCAACTTCTGCAGTCACTCCTTTATATTCCACGTGGCTTTTGGCCCGAGGAAACACGAGCTCAGCGGTTGAACTGATGCTACGTGTGAACTCCATGGAGCAGATTCAGATTTGTCTGACGTTGCTGCAGCATTCCTCACATACCTCGGGCCGTCGACAGGAAGAAGCAGCACATCTGTAATTCGTGGGTGTAGAAGAATCTGAACGGAGACGTCCTCTGCTGACGAGCTGCCCATCTGCTGCTTCAACAACAACAACAACACACTGAGCGGTCAGGACTCGTCCATCGCGTGACGCACAGACACACAGGAAGCAAATAATTCTGTAAAACGTATTCAGTTTTTAGATTCACCTTCTTTAGCTCTTCTCCCAGCTTGTGTCTGATCTCCTCCAGGGGAGCCAGATGAGTGCTGGCTCGAACACAAGTGTACGAAGGCGGGTGAGACAGACATGTGAGCAGCTTCTGGAAACGACAATCTGCCTCCTGGTGACCCACAGCTGCCAACACCTGAACGCATCACGATCAAGATGGAGAGACAGGCGACAAAGTAAAGCTATGAAACCCAACTGAAGTAGTACTTAATAGATTGTTATGAGACAAGGGCATTGCTTCAAAGATCTATCACTTGCTGCATTATAAGTAATATAATAAAATACATTATAAATTAGAACACAACAAAAAAAAAAGTTTAAATTAACCTGAAGAATTAAGAACTACAGTTTTGACCCCAAAAAAATCCACATAAAATCCTTGGATTTGTTGGGTTTTTCTGTATATTTTTGGGGGTCAAAACTGTAGTTCTTAATTCTCCAGGTTAATTTAAGCAATTTATAATTCTGTAAATTCTTATGTAGGTTTACTCTCTTATTATTCACATTGTGGTGTATCAGCCTTAATAAGTATTATAGCCAGTAAAATAGCATTTTATGTCATTTTATAATTTTCTGTAGGGCTTTAATCCCTAATATGTAAAATACTAAGATACGATCTCACCAAAAATAACATTACAGGGTCTTAAACGCAATATTTAAACTTGATAGGTTTATTTCATAACTTCAATCTTTTTTCTTTTTTTTTTTGTTTTTTTTTGTTTTACTTGAAGCACTTTGGAGCAACATCTGTGGTCTTAAATGTAAAAAAGAAACTTGACATTGTTCCCACAGCAGCCAGACAGTTACTACTAAGCCTGTATTCACATTAATATGTTTTCAATTTAAAACTCAGAACTTCTGCTACATTTATGCCTTGTTTCCACACTGCTACAGAGTTTTAGAACCTCTAAAATGGAGATTTTTGGAAACGCTGTTTTAGTTTGAAAAATCCAGGGTTGTGTTTTCAGTTTGGACAGACAGAAACAGACTTCTAGACATGATGACACAGATGATTGTTTTCTGATTTGGCTTTACTGTCAATATGCTCAGTAACTGATTGATCCCTGAGGAAATAATGTGAAGAATGGGCGACAACAATGGCTCAACTGGTTGCTAATGAGGAAATAACATTCTCAATTAAAGATTCTAATCAATATTCAGTATGTGTATGTGGAGCTCTTTAACTTATGTCTGTAACTTATGCGCCACTTTAGCCATCTAGTGTAACCAAGAAAGTGAGCAAACGTGTTCATGTTTGTACAAACCTTTAATGAAATGTTCACTGACAAATGAATGAGTGGCGCAAAATTAGATGCAAACATATGGCTTTTATCAACATTTTTAGTCATTAAAACAAGATTTACAGCTTACAAATTAGTCACACAACCTCTAAAACTAACTCTTCCAGTTAAAATACTGCTCTAACTGTCTGAAACAAAATAATTTATTTCACAGTATTAAACAGAAAACAGGTGGCTCTACAACTGAAGACACCAAGGATGTTTCTAAGTACTGTTTCTAGAAATGTTGGTGTTTTTCAGTTCACTTTCTCCAGTGACATAAACATGCAATTTTAAAGCTGACTCTGGTATTTCTTAAAGGATGTGCTCGCAATACAACTGTTTCACAACTTTAAAATGGTATTCAGACAACTGTCTACTGGCAGAAAATATAATTTAACAGTTGAATGAAAAAAATTAAGAAAGTCACAGCTGACTTAATATGGGGGATTGTGTCTGAGGAATCTGTGTGTGATTATTTACCGGCTCACTGAAGGTTCACACATCACCACAGAAAGTGTTTATTTATATTCCCATAAAGTGAACTTCCAAAAACAGCAAAGCAAATTCTTACCTCCTTGTTTAAGAAGACACTGTTAAGATGTTCAGTCACTTCAGGCTTCAGAGAAATCCTTGGTAAAATGGACATTTCTTCTACTTTCAACGAAACTTCAGTCTGTGGGCAGAAAACAGAAAAGCAAATGAAGCAGAGTGTTCAACAGGTCTAATATGTGGTAACACTACTGAAAAGTAGTGGACGAGTTCTGTTTTCTGGATATTCGGCCCCAATTAATAGTGAATATCCCGAATATTTGGGGGTGGTGGCGGGTGGGTGCGAACGAATAGTCGGCTATTTGGCTATTCGGGTCCAGCCCTACTGAAAAGCTGTTCAGAATTGCTGTGTTTTATTCCTGAGACAGAGAAAGACATAATAACAATAATAATACTTTAACCAGCAAACTCAAAATGAACCATAACTCTGATTATTATAACTCAAGCTGAAACTGTTTTTTAAGACGTAACAGTCACATAGTCGTGATCTATCATTTGCTTCTATTTTTATGGTCATTTTACTGTTTTAAATGATTAGTTTTCGAACATTCCTTGAGTTTTATTGAGTTTTGTGCATTTTAAAGGACTATAAAGTGACTGACACTACATATTAGCCCAGACTAATAACTCTGTGGTATGTGCCATTGGTTCATGCATGTCCCTGTGCAGTTATGCTGCAAGAAAATACCAATCATTAAGTACAAAATAAAAAAGCAGCACTTTAGTAATTAAGTAATACATGTAATAAAGAAAACAGAGAGCAGCTTGACTGACCCTGGTTGTCCTTTTTGTTTTTTTATGTATATCCCTATATTGCATGCACTGTTTTAATTAAACGTGACAAATGTGAGATGTTTAAATAACGGAATCCATTTGGAGAAGTTACCTAACACAGTGTATATTCCCAACATAAACAGCACCTAATGAAAGACTCTCTTTATGTAAACTTGAAAGCACGTCTGAAAGCTCGTATACTTCAGACCACTCTGTGCTTTTCAGCATCCCGCTTATCATGTTCATATTTAATAGAAGGATCGGTAAATTATGTGTTTATTCTAAATGTGTTTCGACGTGAAAATGTTTTTGATTCTGCTCGGGTACTCACATTCTGTGCCGGCATGAATCCGATCTCTCTTGTTTTGGCGTGTTGGCCGCGCTACTACTTCCGTATACGTCACCGGCTTGGTCACATGACACGAGTTGGATTCATAAATCGCAGTTTTTTTCTTTTTTAATAAATAATTTTATTTACTTACGAAAAAAGGGTTTTTTGCGCATAAATACTTGCAAAATGTTTTGACAAAAATGAATAGAATACAAACTGTTTATTTGTGTACCAAATAAGCATGACAATTACGAACATTGATAATAAATTAAATAGTCGAGGTGCAAATATAATTTTGAACATGAAACGAAACAAATATAACATAATTTGAAACAAACAGCAATAAAGCAGGACATACCTGAGTTTAATTTGTCTTATGTGAGCCAAAATAACAACTAACTGTGTAATATATCAGTAGACATAGACTTGAACATCAATAGTAAGTGTTCAAAACAGCAACAAAAAATAATGTAAGGACATGATCATTCAGAAAACCACCAAAAAACAATGACAGCATTTTCAAAACGATTTAAAGCATTTTTAGAAGCCACAGCAAAAAAAGGGCATGATAATTATCAAATCGGATCATAAATAAGAAAACTAAGATTGCAAAGCACACAAAAATTAATTTTTTTTTAGAATTTAAAAGGCCCAAATTGTTGCCCTTGAAATTAAAATTATTACCCCCTTGTTTTCTTAGGGATTCCGGGAATTTTTTGTTTTTTTTCGTTTTTGTTTTTTTTTTTTTTTGGTTCCCACTTTTGTTTTAAATTAGTCAGGTTAATCTCCATAACTAATACTAATGTAGGGTTTTAGCCATAATATTTATTATAGTCGGGTAAAGTTATATTTCGTAAACTTTAGTAGAGTTTTAATCTTTAACAATTTAATTACCCAGACAAACCCCAGTATAAACAACAGTATAGGGTCAGCGAGACGTGGCAAATAAACAACTCATCAGTTTTGTTTATAAATAAAACATGCATTTATTTTTAGGAAAATCCTTTGGGAATTTTCTGCAAAAGTGATAAACAAGCAGTAGTGAAAACAAGCTGCTTCCAAAAAAAAAGAAAATAGAAAAAAAAACGTGGCACGACGTCATCACGTAGGCGGAAGATAACTGAATAGTCGGGCTGCTTTTTTCACCGCAGCACTGGCAGCAGCAGAAGCTAACGGGCAGCGGCAGCAGCAGCGGAGCCGTTACCAGCAGAGTCAACACAGTGCTGCTCTCACCGCCCGTGTTTGCTCGGTTTGCGGAGGGTGTAACGACACCGTACACACTCGATAACAAGTCGTCACTTTTTTCATCCTCTCGTCAGCCTCGTTCTCCATGTTACCGGTGCGCATGGCGCTGAAAAGGTCGGTGAGGTGTTTTGCGGACAAGAGATCATCCAGCTAATGTTAGCTAGCCGCAGCCAGCCACGGACTGCACGGTGCGGACTGGAGAGCGGAGAAGCTCGGTGCTGCTGGCCGCTCTACTCACGGACGGACGGACGGACGGACGGGACGGACAGACGTCGGTGTTAAGCTGAACGATGGGCCTCATATTCGCCAAACTGTGGAGCTTCTTTTGTAACCAAGGTGGGTGTCGGTGGCATTATTACGGCTCACTAACCTCCCGCTAGCTGCTCAACCGGGGATAATGTGAACTGTTAGCCCGCTAGCATGAAGTGAGCAGCGAGAGCCACAACAACAGATGGGGGAGAATTATCTCGCTACACATCTTTTTGAGTTCAGCAGCACTCGGGCTGCTCTGCCATCTCAGCTGTCTTTGTTTGATTCGCACGTCAAAACAACCACGTAAACTACACTACACCCGACGGCTGTAAGCTGTTTACTAACGACATGATTATCTGAAGTCACCGTGAGCCTGCAGGAGCACATTCATCTGGTTGTCAATCAGCTTTAGTTCACGTCTCATAACTTTTCCATGACTTTCTGAGAAGCTGTTGACTGTAAATATTCCCACCCAGGTTCATTTTCTGTGGAGCGGTTTGCTTCCCTTGGCATATAATCGTTGCTCCAAGTGTACACCTAAAACAGTGGAACAACAATAACAAGACTTTTCCCCATATGTTTAATAGTAAACTATTACAGAGCACCAAAGGCTTTAAAGAAAATCCAATCTTCTTTGATGTGATCCAAATGATTACTTATACATTATACTAGTTGCATAGTTTTCTTATCACGTGAGCATTATTTTGCTTGTAAAAATGATGGAAGGTGGCTCTTAAGGTGATTAATGTGCATTTTCATTTTATGTTCTCCACCGGTGGTCATTATTTTTCCTCTGCAGAGGATTTATGTCAGGGGGTTTTGGTCTTAACTCCTTTTTTGTCACACTGCTGCCTGGCCCTGAGCGCAGCAGAGAAAGACCCTTGCTTTAATGCCCTAATTCTGGATTACACTGTTCCCAGTGTCAAGTTACACTACTTAAGGAGATTACAGCGTGGTGTGGAGTGAAATCGTTGGACGCAGAGTGGAAGCTAAATACATGTAATCAGCGAGGTGTAATCAGATAATCAGAAACGTAACTAACCAGACGAGAAGTACTGGTGTTTGCAGTTTTGAGATTCTGTGGTGTGCAACAGAGATCCAATAAACTATTGTCCTGAGGTTTAGTGTCAGAAATAGCTAAATGCAACCTGTGTTAATGTGCACTTTCATTCCTCCTGTATTGTCAGTATATTGCCTAGTGAACCTTTAAATGTTCTTCTTATTGTGTTTTTATTTTATCTTAAAGTGCTGCAAAAGTACATTTTAGTTGTGCAACAGGTAGAACTGCAACGCTAAATAGATGAATGAATTAGCAGTCTACCATTTTGATAGTTGTTGATCTGTTTAGGTACATTTTAGAGGAAAAAATCTCAGATTCCAGTTTCAATAATTGAAATAGTTTCTTGTCTGTGAGAGTAAAATTAGGTTCTGTGGTCTTTTTGGAGAAAACAAGACATTTCATAATGTCATCTTGGGTTTTGGAAACGCTAAGTGACTTTTTTATTTTCCCATTTTCTGACATTTTACTAACAGCTTCCCAAAGAAAACAATCAGCCCACTGATAGACGGTTGATTGCAGCCTTAGTGATAGCCGCTTTGTTTTTCAATTGTGTAGTCTATTGCGGTGTTTAAATTCTGGATTTGATGATGCTGTTTGGTAGTTAATATGCTGTCGGGATCGTCACAGGGCAGCTTGTCTTTACGGAAGCAATAGACATGCGACATCCTCCAAAAACCCTGATATAGTTCATCAAGACCGTCAGAACTGCGAATCCTCTGACCGGACTTCCTTCCTCCCAGACAGCCAGAGGCCTCCAAAGGGCAGAAGAGTCAAAACACTAGCCTGGGATATTTTAGCGTGTGCGTGTGGGCTCTGATTCCTGCCTTTAGTTGGTCATGTTTGCTCTTTTCACAGCCCTCACTGTTGTTCTAGCTGGTTTCTGAATGGCCAGAAGTCGCTGTAGCTCCAACTATGTGTGGAAAAATGAGGTCAGGATTGCGAGCTGAGGAAGGAAGGAAGTTCAGCCTTTATGATTTTGAATGTGCTGCTTTGAATGTGCTGCTATGAATGGCTTGCGTGCTTTTGCCACGTTGTGTTTTTACAGCGACTGAGAGAAGAGAATTGAGTGTTTTTGTGCACATCATGAAAACCACAGTACAGTTAATGGGCTGTTTGTTTTGCAGAGCACAAGGTGATCATTGTGGGACTTGACAATGCAGGGAAAACCACTATCCTCTACCAATTGTAAGTACTTCTATTGGTAAAATTACAGTTCTTGGAAACCCCGTCTTCACAGTTTTTTTTGCACTGCTAACTATTGTGTTTACTTTAGTCTGATGAACGAGGTGGTCCACACGTCACCCACCATCGGCAGCAACGTGGAAGAAATAGTGGTGAAGAACACCCACTTCCTGATGTGGGATATAGGAGGGCAGGAGTCTCTCCGGTCCTCCTGGAACACCTACTACTCCAACACAGAGGTGAGAAACACATTTTCTACACTAGTAGATGAGTGTTGTCCAGCAGCAGCTTTTTTCTTTTTTCTTTTTTTTTCCTTGAGCACAGCAGCTGGTGTGTTTGTTCAGAGCACAGACGGCAGCAGGAGCCGCCCAAGTCAGAGGTCAGCTTCTCCACAAAGGGGTCTGTCTGAAAAGCAAAGCCGGGGTCAGAGTGAGGAACAGGGGAGCATAAAGAAGAGCAGCAGAGGCAGATGTGTGGACGAAGGCAAAGAAACGTGACACAAAGCCCGTACATGACACGGGATATGCAGCTCCGGTTTAACTCGCATGTGGCCATTCATACCTTCACATCCAGAACCTGATTCTCTTGTTCCCCACACGTCTTGGTTGATTGAATACTAGTTGACACTCAGTTGAAGCGTCACATTAGATCACATTTTCTCGCTGCAGCTTCTCAGTTGTGAAGATTTTCTGCATTTCTAAGTGTGGTGTGATTCTACACTGAATATCTTTAGGTTTTAATCTGCTGCTCAGAGACAACAAGCAGTTGGAAAAAAATATCAGTTTGGACATTTTTCGCCACTTTCTGACATTTTATCAAACCTACAAATGAGTTGATCCTGTTTAACATTAAAAATGTCGACTGTCACGGACAGAAGGATGTCTAAATCCAGATTTAGTCAATGTTAACATAAAAACTCATAAACAAATGTGTCTAATTTCTGAATGAACCTGGCCTCCCTCCACTGGCTGCCTGTGCACTTTAGGGTTCATTTTAAGATTCTTTTATTTGTTTTAAAATCTTTAAATGGCTTCGCCCCGCCCTGCCTCTCTGAGCTTCTTCACTCCTACGCCCCTGCACGGTCAACTGATCTTGAGGTACCGAGTTCCAAGCGAACGTTCAGAGGGGACCGAGCATTCTCTGTTGCTGCTCCTAAAACTTGGAATGGCCTACCTTTGCACATCAGGCAGGCCTCCTCACTGTCTGCTTCTAAAACCAATCTTAAAACCCACTTTTATTCACTGGCTTTTAACCCAGCATGAGACCTCGCTCTGTTTTAGTTGTCTCATTTGTTCTATGCTGTTTTTATTGTTGGTTTGTTTTGTTGTCTTTATGACATGAAATGCAACAAGTCCTGACATTTGAAAAGAAAATATGACGCATTTCCTCGTTACATTTAGATAACTTGTTTTATTTGACCAGCGGTCCAAAACACAAAGATAATGAGGTTACTAACACGTACAACCAGGCAAAGCATCAAATCCTGACATCTGAGAAGCTGAATCTTTGGGCTCAGTGTTACCCTTCACCTTATGAAATCACTGATTAGTTCCAGCCTTTATTGTTGCAACAGTGATGATGTTTGATGCGACAGATTTCTGTTCCTTTTTAAAAAAAAAATCATTTCTGGACATTTGTTGTGAGTTTAACTGTTCACGCTTCTTTGCATTTAACAAATGGGAACTTTATGGCTGATGTGTTACAACAGACTTTACTAGGAGTCCTACAGTCACCAGAGTAACCTGAATCCATCCTTTCATTCCAGAGTCAAGCAGTCATGTAGCACCCTGGTCGTGATCTGGGTCACATTCGTGTTGAATGACACGTGTTGACCCGTTCACCCCTCCGCTCGCAGCGTCTTCTTCTTGCTTCGTTGGTTTAAATGGTGTCTGTCACATCTCCTCAAAATTAACGTGTCTTTGGTCCTTTGTCATACTCGGCAGCTCCTCTCATTCAAAGGGGGCTATTAGCATAGCAGTCACCACTGGCCTTTGTGAGGCTCTCGCCCCGGAAATACCCACCCGCTGTGCCGCGTTTCACTGCTGTAAATGTCTTTTGAAAGGAGCTCAGTGAGTGTGATTTCTGTCTGCAGTTCATCATTCTGGTGGTGGACAGCACAGACAGAGAGAGGCTGGCCATCTCTAAAGAGGAGCTCTACAGGATGCTGGCTCATGAGGTAAAAACTCATATTAACACTTCCCGTCATGTTCGTGAGGAAACGGACCACACAGATCTGAGTCTGTGCTCGTAGTGGACACTGATTTTTTCCACCCGACCGCATTGTTTAGAGCTTGTGGTTCAAAAGGTGGCAGAGAGTAACGTTCTGGGTTCATTGTTCTCTGTTCTCTCCCTCAGGACCTGCGGAAAGCAGCTGTGTTGATATTTGCCAATAAGCAGGATATGAAGGACTGCATGTCTGCTGCAGAGATCTCCAAATACCTCACCCTGAGCTCCATCAAAGACCACCCCTGGCACATACAGTCCTGCTGTGCACTTACAGGAGAGGGGTAAGACGCACTGCAATATATCCAGAGTGACGTGGTCAGCAGAATTTTAATTAACTTAGGGATTAGACGATGAAATCCCATCAAGAGTTTCCCTCGTTCTGCTGCCAAACAGACCCGCAGTCACATATATATATACAGATGTTTCTAATTGCTCTTATAAAGTTCCTGCTGCCAGAAAACAGTGAGCCGTCATAAAAGAAGAATCACTTCATACAGATGTTTTCTCACAACAAGCTGTTCTATTTTAAGCGAGCTTGAGCCGTTTTCAGATATATTGTAATATAAAGTATGTGGAGGCACCAAAGCTTGTTTCAACCTGCTGTTAGTGTCAAATGAAAAATCCTACATGACATGAAGTCTGAAGTCTCAGGTGCTCCAGAAAACTTCCCAGTAAGTTTTTCGGCCACAGTCACCACGTTTAACAGATTTGATGCACATTTTGAAGTCCTATATGAGAAAAAGTTAATGGAAAAATGTCCCCAATGTTGAAAAAAAAAAGTATTTATGCTCACATTAGATGGTTTAGAACTTTTTTAAAAAGAGGTCATGGAAATAATGGCTGATGGAAACCCCTTTTTCAAATAAGCCTGACATAGTGAACAATCAACTCAAGCGACTGACCAGCTGTTTCTGCTTCTTTTATTGTCCTCGTCAGGAACAGCATGATCCACGTCCAGTACGGCTGACGTGAAAGGATGGTTACAGCTTGTGTAGTTGAAATCAACTCCCTAATACTTCTTAGGTTTTGTCTCGTAGATGACTAAAGTTTTTGATATTATTCTTCAAGGTTGTTTTTTTATAAGCAGTTGGCAGTCAAATTTGTTTTCCAGCTTCTTCTACTGTTTTTATGCAGCCATGTTTAACATAACATACAACACTACACAGTATAGTGTGCTTTCTTTTTACTTTTTTTAATGTGAAATTTAAAGGTTTGCAAATGTATGTGCAAGTGATGCATACATTACATTAGTAATATAAGAAGAGGAGAATAAGTGAGAGGCCTGACATATTTCAACTAAATTATCTTCATTATTTTATGTAGCATATTAAGCAATTTCATATCATTTTACAGCAGCATGTCTGAGAATTACAGATGTATTAAATATGTGAGATTCTTGAACACAGTTGAGATTTAACGTAGCTGCTGAAACCAACCTGGAAGAGCTGCTGTTAGTTCTGTAGACCACCAGGTGTCACTGCACCTGCGGAGGTTAAAGCCCTGAAGCTTCAGAGGCCTTCATAGACGTGAATACAGATTTGAATAGATTACTCTTGTGCATGTTGCTATTCTAGTGGGTTTTTAGATTTTAGATTTGCTCGTTTTTCACTGTACTTTTGGAGGGGAAAGGATTGCTGCTTAATTTTATTGTACACTGCAATGACTAAAGTAATTCTATTTTACTCACCTGCCCATCACTAGTATACTGTCAGCTAAGTCATAACTATAACTGCTCCATCAGGGTAGAGACCGCCACATATTAGGTGAGTTAACAACAGTGTATAAATAAAGCTCATTTGAAATCTATGTTCCTGAAAAGCCTTGTAAACACCCAAATGTAGTTTTTCTTGTCAAATGTATTAGAAACTTTACATTAAATCAACTTAAGTCTTAAATATTTAGTGGTAAGCAGTGATGTGTTGGATATTAAAATCTGTCTGGAGATGTTGAACACGCCGGTTCGCGTCCCGGTGGGGGCACCGGAATCTTTCTGCATGGAGTTTGCATGTTCTCCCCGTGCAGCGTGGGTTCTCTCCGGGTTCTCCGGCTTCCTCCCACACAGTCCAAAAACATGTTGAGGTTAATTGGTGATTCTAAATTGTGTGCTTGGTTGGTTGTCTGTCTCTAAGTGTGGCCCTGCGATGGACTGGCGACCTGTCCAGGGTGTCTCCTGCCTTCGCCCTAAGTCAGCTGGGATAGGCTCCAGCCCCCCCGCGACCCTAATGAGGATTAAGCGGTGTATAGATAATGGATGGATGGATGTTGAACACTGATAAACTCACGCAGATAAAACATCCTCAACAGCTTGACAACACATGCGCTGTAAACACAACACCAACACGACGGTCCGGTGTCAGACTTCGAGAACTTTAGAAGTCACAAAGCTCTGAGCCTGCCACAGCCGGGTTCATCACTTTTTTATGTCCCCTTGAAACAGATCCGTTGTCATGTGGGCTCCTCTTGGCTCTGGTTGTTGCTGTTTGTGGCTTCTAGTTGTTCCACTTGTGTTGTGCGTATTTCTGTCTACTTGCAGCATGTTGAGCTCTCAGCCAGCGTAGTTTGAGGTTCTTCTTGGTTTCTTAGCGCATAGTGAAAAAACTACATCCTACGCCTTACATGTATGTTTTCCAGATTATGCCAAGGCCTTGAGTGGATGACCTCCAGAGCTGGACTCAGATAGCCCCTTCCTCCGCCGTCGATGGCCTGACTACCTGCACCGCCTCCGAGGTGGCAACAGCTTGTCCTTACTGGCTTATTGTTACTTTTTATTTTTTTAACGACAGACTTCAATGACTGCACAGGACGGGAGCATCGTCCACAGAATCATCGTTACGGTGGAGCTGGTGCTTCTCCTGATCGGTGGGAATCGGAAAGACCTGCTCACGAACCGAGCAGCGTCTTTAACGGGATGTTATTCCAGAGGAGGGCTGCGTGGACTCTCAACATTTACACTACGTACATATCACGTCGCATTACACCGAATCATATCAGAGTTTGCCATAAACACTACGTTGGAGCCCAAATCTGGTGCAGCTCTGTTGTTATTATTTTTATTTTTTTTTTGCCTTTTGTATAAGTTTGTTCAGGTAAAATTCGACAAACAAAGGGATTACAAGCAGTATTTGTAAAAGCAGTTTCAGTGGAAGTCGTGGCACTAAGTTGTTACTCCGCACAATGATTTTACAAGGATATGTTCTCATGATTGTTTTGTTGTTTTTCCGTTTTCATTCTCAGCACAGCTATTGATATCTGTTACATCCGTTTTCAGTTTCATAAGCTACACTGTCGGTGGTATTTCTCACTCTAGGACTTATATTGGTGCCGTAATGAAATGTGGTAAAAGTACGAAATCCTATTTTTAATAACTGTGAGCCTGTACTTGTATGTTATTGAGCCAAATGGTGTCGATTCAGAGTGTCGGCATGCGAAATTTACCTTCATCTAACCTCTGAAAATAAATTTTAAATTAACCCTACGACGTTATTTCAGATGCAAGTACAAAGCTCAGTTTTAATAACAGTATTTTAAATGTAAACACTATGTTTTCTAAATGATGCGTTATGACTTTTATTTAATTTTATTTTCGCTTTATAGACTTGTTTTCCATCGGGGGCAGGTTGCGATCTCGACCCATTTTGTATTAACAGATGGTCTCTGATTTGCCTCCGCCTCCTTTTTATTAATTTTCTGCAGCCATTTTGGCGCCATATTCCTCTTTAAACGTTTTGTACTTTTTAAACAGACATCGGAATAAGCCACCGCCAATCAGGTGCCACACATTTACGGGATGTTGTTACTCTTAAACCTGTCGGACCTGAGCGTTCAGCGGTTTGGTAGCATAACGACGACGCTAACTCAGAAAGATCTGGCCGTGGTACAGTTAAAATACTTGATCCTCAGCCTTAACAGAGCTGTTCTGGAGGACCGCATGTGTTCAAAATCTGCCCATGACTTTCACCTTCGTCTCCCTCTGTAACCTGGTAGAAGAATTCCTTGAACTTGCTAACAGATCTATGCACGTGTCACTTTGAAACCTTGTATACCTTCTACAAGATCTATAGTGGCCAAAAAGAAAAAAAAAAGGAGGATGTGCATGAGTTTCATAGCAGAGATGAGAAAACTGGCGTCCATCTTGGTGTGGGAGTGCCGCTGGGTCTCTGGAACATTTTGTTCGTAGTTTGGGGGGCGAGGTCTTTTTACACAAACAGGAAGCAGGCGAAGCGTGCAGCCGCCAGACTTCTTCGCAGCATTAAGGTTTACAGCTTTTACCTTGAGCTCACAAAGCAAGAGAACTGGTCATATAGTGTGTGTGGTGATGTCTAGTCTGGGTCCTGTACTGTACTTCAGTTTTGTTTTCAATAAAGGCTTGTTTTGAACTTTGAGCCTCCTTATCAGTACGTCTGAGTTAAAGTTCTAGATGTGCCTGCATGCTTCCCTCAACTGATTACTCTTGATTTTTATCATTTTTAAAGACAAGAACCAAAACATCTCTGAACCAAACACGAGTTTATTCACATCTGCGATATATTGGCCGATCAAACGAAGCACAGAGCAGTCGATAAAAGACACAGGACTCCGATCTACTTTGAAAGGAACGTAAAAAGGAGCTTCATTTCTAAAAAGAATTTTTTTGAATGTTTTTCTTTTTTTTACTCTAAACTGTACTATACATTCACTTTTCAATGAAGCCTTTGCATCGAGGTAATGAGCAAAGAAAAACACTGTCAAGACACACGTTCAGGAATGAGGGGAGATTTGAACTGGGGACGAGAAAAAAAAATACTGGATTTAGACGACACATACAATGAAACTGTATAATAGTGAACGTCTGACAAAAGCTGATATGTTTTCTAAGCTGCAACCCAGATGCCAGGAGCACTGCTCTCCTCGGCCGCGCCCTCCTGTCCGACAAGTACAGACGAGCGCTCGCATTCAACAGATTCAATAACAAGTTTCAGTAATAAATGCAAAGTTGTTTTTTTTAAGAGTTCAAAAAAAAAAAGTTCTCACAGTAACGTCACTGTCACACATTAAGAGTAACACAAAAGTAGCAAACGATGAGGAACAGATGAGCTCTCAGCTGATCAGTCCGTCTCAACCGGCTCCAGGGGAGAGTTTTAGAAACTTGTGTCGGTTTTCATCGATGCTGGTGTTACCTGGACTCCTCTCCATGACATCATTTGCAGTCTTTGTTTCTCCTCCGTAACGAGACCTTCTTCTTCTTCTAAAGCGTCCATGAAGCGGTCTCTTTAAAACATGGCGGGTGCGGAGAAGCTGTTGCTGTCAGGGCGTCAAGCTCAGGGTCAGAAATCATACCGGAGAAATGAATGAAGGAGCTTGACGTTACCGCGGGGGTCTTTACAAAACGTCCGCCACCTCACGGCACACCGTTCACCGCCGGCAGAGAAAAGGCGTCAAACATGCATTAGTCTAAAAGTGTGAAAATGGCTTTGGATGAGGCAGCAAAATCTCACAAAATTAAGATTAAAAAAAGAAAAAAAGGTAGATGGAGCGAAGAATGGGAGCAGGAAAAGCCTGGATGCTCTTTGGCCGAGGTGTGTCCGACGTCATCTACACACACAGGGCTCTGGGAAACCTGCAAGAAGAGGAGGAGACGAGTATAAACGGCACATTCTTCACAGAAAAGCTGCATGTGCACAGAAATCTGCAGAATACGTTGAATTTCTTTAACCTAATTTTTACCATCTGGGGTTCCCACAGGTTTTTTTTTTTGGTCATATCTCTGAGTACTTTTATTCCATCACTCCACTTTCTCACAATTTTGTCAATTCGGTCCGACTGACTTCAATCAATCTGTGTTCGCTTCTGTTTTAATTCCTGCTTTTGTAATTGTTGTAGGCAACGTGATACTAAAATCAAAAGTGCAGTAAATAGGCTTTGAGGTACTAATGTGGAAGGTCGTTGGGATAAGTATTAAGTATTTTTGTTTTACACAATATGGAAACAAAACAACTTCCCTAAAACCTTTGTAATATGTCTTCTTTTCCCCCAGATGACTTTAATTAATGTTTTGAAAAGAAATTAACATTTTGCGATGACTGTTACTCACAGTATTGCATTCTGCAAACGGTAGTCTTTGTATGTCAAATAATGTCTGGATGAGGGTTAAAGCAGTAAATCAAGAAAAGCTGACGTCAAATGAGCAGTCTAACCTGTCCTCAGTGAAGCCATCCATCTCCTCTTCATCATCCAGCTCCATGTCCAACTCATTGTCAAGACAACCACGGCCATATCCACTCAAGACGCTGCAGGGAGGAAACATTTTTTAATGATCCGACCTCTTTCTGTCGTCACTTACAAAGTATGTGCTGGTATAACTCAAATATTCTATAATGCACCTATAAAGGGTGTATTTATCGTATCTATTTAAAAAACACATATTCATCATTGTGAGTTGTAGTAGTGCTGTTACTGACCTGACAGAGCGACATGTGAAGAATACAATCCTCTTCAGTTTCTTGTTGTAGAAGAAATAGTTGAAGGACCAGAGACTCCCCTCTTCACCGAAAGGGTCTGAGTCCAGATCAGGGTTGTAGCTAAAACACAAATTGTTCTTAATTTAGACTCACTCGACACCACAGGGACTCTCTGCATGATAAACTCTGTTACCAGCTACCTGTAAATGTCACAGCTCTGCAGGTTGATCTCCTGGTCGATGGCGTTCCACAGCTCGGGGCCCAGAGAGTTGAACTCTTCTCCGACAGCCGAGAACAGGCTGCTGTTTACCGCATTAGCCACCTGGGGAGAAATCATGGTCAATTAGTCGCTCAACAAACCCCATTATTCCTTATTCAGGCGCGGCTGCAGAGCGACATACTGACCCAGTTGAGACTGGGCTCTCGGCTGAACTCGTGAGCGCGCGCCGCGCTGAAGTCGTAGTCGGGCCTGAAGGACTCGTTGAGCGTGGTGATGAGGTAGAAAAGAGTCTTCCTGCAACACTTGTCACTCAGAGGGTTTTCTCCGTCCTCACTGCTCTTCCCCAGCCTGCACAGAACAACACAGTTTAACACACAGTCTTACATGTACATCAACTACTGGGACTGTGCTGCAGTACTCACTGTGAAGGGCTGGTGGCGCTGGTGGACTGAGGGGGGGAGAGGGCCTCCAGGACATGGGGCTCCCCCTCCTGGCAGAACTGCTTGAACATGTGTTTATCATCTCCTGCCATCTTACAGGAGTAGCTCTCAATCCTGCAGGGCAGAAAGAGTCTGAGGTTAAAAACAGTCATCTGCATGTAAACATAATGATGGGAGGAACAACGTTAGCTGAAGCATTTAAAAATTACTTTTAAGAGTCCTTCAGGCTTAAAAAGACCACGACATAAGAGCTAAGGGCCACTTAAGGGAATTTCAGTGCATCAACTATTTAAAACCATTGACCACCTCTCTAAAATCAAATTCAAACTCAATAGGACACAAATAGATATAGATCACATAAACAATTATGCTCCTATAAAACAAAGTGAAAAATGAGTAATACAAAAAGTCTTGTTTGGTGCAACCATCAAAAATGTGAAATATTCAAGGTCCTGTGGTGCCAAGACAAGGAGAAGCAGTATATTCTTGGCCATGTTTGTGTTTTTTGGCAAAATAAAATATACATTTCTGATTGGATCCGACATAATTTAAGGATTCAGTACAGAAAACCTGACTGCAAGCCAACTCATAACTCTGTTAGACAAGAGAGCCCATGTGTTTCCACCAGAGGCCATATCAGTGCAAACACCTGCCAAGTCGGTGCTAAAATTTCCTCCGAGTTCCTTCATGTTTCTGGGTCAGATGCTGCTCATACAGATATGTGAGCACAGCGGGGTGGTGGGCAGTTGTTTGTTTTTCCCCCTCGACCTCCCAAAGGTTATACAAGAGCAAAGGTTGTGCAACTCAGGACAGACTATCAAGACGCTCCTGGTCTAATTTTAGGGACATCAGAGGACGCTGCAGTGGAAATAGCTGCCACCGGTATTTCATACACAACACAGCTGATGTGCCGACAAAACACTGAGCGCAACCACATGAGGGGAGCTGAGAGAAGATTATGAACACTTCCCTATTTTTAAACCTGTACACAACTCCAACCGCAGCCTGCTTACATATTTGTGTTGTACTGTACTGCAGCTATTCCCACACTGTTTATTTATTACTACAGAACACCAGCTGTGTTCTTTCATTTCGGAACTTGAGACGCAACATTTGTGCAGCAAGGAAGAAATGTTTTATGCTGCCTAATTTCATTTCTGCATGTCTTCAGAGAATACCATAAACCCGCTAAAAGCCCGGTGGGTACATTCTTAGCTGAAGTCCTGCTGCCGTGATGGGCTGCCTCACTAATCCACTAAGCAGCCTAAACACCAGCAGCCTTGGCAGCTCTAGCAGCACTCAGCTGGTATCACTATGTCCGTGTGTATGTACACATACACCAATAAGCACTTCACAACAGCCTCCAAAATAACCGGAGTGGTGCGAGAGGACACAGTGATCTGCGTCACTCTAGGTCACAACCAAGACAGAAGCTCAGTTTCACCACCCACACTTCAAACCCTGCACCCAGACTGGGCTGCATAGCTCCACAGCCCACTGGCCTTTATGTAACTACACTGTATCTGCATGTCCTGCTGTGAGCTTTACATAACCTAAAACAAGAAAAAAAAAGCACCGTCAGACGTCTATTAACTATCAGTACAAGCCCTGAAAGTAGGCCTTTAGTGAAGCAACCTGTTATCATGATGTTGCATAACACGCAGGGGGTTGTTTGCTCTACTACCCTGTTTATGAGCAGTCGGTATACTCTGAACCTGCCCTCTATCCATGACATCACACCAGTCGAACCTTTTACTGTAAAAGGAAATGTCTCTTAGACTAAACGCTTTCTACTGCAGCGGGTTTACTTCAGAATAAGAATCCGTTTTGTGGTCAAGAAGGCTTTCACATGCATACAGACATGGTGTTTAGGTGCAAAACAGTAGAAAAGAGTTCCAAGAAAAATAAAAAGTGTAGTAAATCTAATGTATTGTGAAAGTAATCAAAATATTTACAGTTATTTGAGCGAGACAGCTGTGGAGAATGTACAGGAAAGTGGATATTAATCACCAGAGCCTGTGCAACATAACCACTGTGTTTCATGTAAACAACTTGAAAAGTGCAAGAGGATCATATTAATCCGTTTCAAAGCCGTGCATTAATGTAACACAATCAATGCCTATGTTGGGAGGAGAAAGTAAATGTCATAATGTCGTAAACACAAAGTCTGAAGTACAGCTGGTGTTCCTGTTGAGCCTGTAAGTCTGCTCTGCAAAAGAAGCAGCAAAGCAAATAGTTCACATTTATCTCTAGAGGTGATCTATGTGTGCCCCACTGCTGGGGGCTACTGGGATGTGTCTGTGTTTTGAAGATGTCAGTGCAAAAACACAACACCTACAGCTGCAGCTTGTTTTGTGTTCAAGTGCAGCCGACTGTAAGACACAAAAAGTCTGATTGCAAAAAGACACACACTGTCAGTCACACGGAAAAAACTTTGGCTGCAGACGAGATGACACCAACTAAAAAAAACAGTGTGTTGCAATCGCTGGCCCTTCATGAGAAAACACAAGTAATAATTTAAATCAGTATTGCAAAACCAGATGTGCATGCAGTCCAAATTTGAGACTTGCAGCATATGCGAAGGGTTCCAAAAAAAAAAAATGTTTCAGCTGTTTTTAAATTATTTTTTATTCCTGGCAGAGAGACAAATATAGTCCAAATAGAGTTACACAAGTCCTCTGGTGAAAAGTGCTGTATTTTTTTTAATATTGCACAAAAACAAATTATGTCATTATCAGTGGTTTTCAACATTATGTAGCCCTATTACACAACAGAAACTAAATGTCTATGAGTGTATAAAGGCAACAGTGATGGCTACAGTGAGTTGTTGGAATCTGGCCTTACCTGCCAAGGATGCGAGACTCTCCGGTTTCAACACACAGCCGAGAGCTGAGGGCTTCAAAGCTGGAGTTTTCCAACAGTTTCATTGCTGTCTGTTAAAAAAACAAAATGCAAACACATAGATATTGTAAGATCATTCATACTAGGACTAAACGTCGGCTTCTATGTCAGCGGTCTGCCTTACTCTGCTTCTATACCGTGAGAGTAGGAGAAGAAATAGCTTGTCAATAATAGCTTTATTTATATTGCATGTTTACAAAGAAGGCTTTACACAGTGCAAAGAAAAAGCAGGATACCCAGAAGCAACAGAACAATATTTAGTACAGTTTAAACAAGGCAAGAGCTGCAAAAATGCAAAATATAATCTGTCAATATTAGTCAAGTCACCATTGTTTGTTTAGCACCTTTAAAGCAAAGGGCTGTCTGATAAACCTAACACCAAACAAGTTCAAAGATAAAGGTCAAGACCCTGCAGGACTATGTCCTGAGCTGCCTGAGTAAGTTACAAATTGCAGTTAAGAGCCTACAATATTATGTAAAATACTAATATATCTCATTAAATTAAGTAATAAGGTTAATATCGATCCTACAGTATTATTAACTTACTTGCGAGGTTTAAAAACTAAGTTCGGACATAATATCTAACTTATGTTATTATATAAAATATTGCAAAAATATAAGGTAAAATACTAATTAAAACTGAAAACTCAAAAGTTAAGTTTACTAATTTGCTAACAAATTGACAAAAAACTGACAGCCAGGTCCGTACAAAGGGCACCATGGCAACGGTTACTTAGCAGTTTGACATGTTTGCTCGGTGCAGCTGCCGTTAAAACCAGATAGTCAGTAAATTAATAATAACATGCATAAAAACATGTAAATAACGGTCTAAACATAATTATTTAACTATGTGCGGCTGCAGCGCCCCGTGAGGACAATTTTTTGATCAAAACACAATTTCCTCTGTCAGAAACAGCCGCCCCTCCCCCACCCTGACCAACTTAACTAACCGTCTTCCTGGTTCAGAGTCGGTACAATAACTCACTTACCGAGCAATATTGTCAGCACAGGCAGAAAACAGCCGGTTCAAAAGTCGGGCAGTCGTCCGTACCGTTAGACACTCGGCCTCTTTAACGAACTGGTTACCGGAGATTAACGAGCCGCGCTTTGTTGTTGACCAGCTAACGTTAGCCGAGTTAGCGGTTAGCTCTGTTGACTACTAACGCTCCTGTCGTCGCTTCACAGCTGCGCGTTTAATTCGCACTCAAGCTTAAGCATCGTTCACAAGCACTCGGTCGAGAATGAGTTATTCTGAGGCTTTTTAAATTTATAGAAAAGCTGCTCTTGCCGATTAAATGCGATGAGATTAAATCCAAAGACTGCTGGCGTCCGTCGGAGTCTGTCTGCAGCGGCATCCCTTTCGACCTGATTTTACAAAGCGATCGGTATCAGCAGGATCAAGTCGCTTTTTTCCGAGCGACTCGATCAAAAAAGCAGCGAAGAGCTACCTGATAAATACGTAATAATATGTCAGAACGGGTTACGGTTGCTGCGAATCGACGATTACCTCAACAACACATCTATTCTCATCAAAACAACGGAATCTACTGTACGGAATAGCCAAGCCCCTTTTTATTTATATACGCTTACTGATGTGCCCGCCCACTTTTAAATGCGTTCTCTTGTCATTGGCTGTCCGCACCTGTCAATATAACTATCAACGACCGCGATTGGCTAAGATTTGCTCAATCCCCAGGCCAAAGCTATGTGAAGACAAACCACAACTGCTGAGCAAGAACAGCAAATTCAGAGTTTAATTTTAGTGCATTTAAAATGTTTATACTCACTGTTCATCGTTTCTGATTCCAGCACCGATAGACATGACTTAACACACAACAATATTTTGCCTAAATATATATATTAGCCTGACCTCTGCCTACCAACAGTCACTTGAATTATTTTATATCTATTTCTTTTACAACATGGGCTAATTTTCTGTTTTCTCATTGTTTTCTGCATTTAATACTGATTTTGTGGTGCAATCTGCTGCAGAGGATTGCACAAGATAGAATTAGAATAGAAGACCTACTTTGCCCCCAAGTGCCTAGCAACAGCATAATGATGTGATGAAAAAATATGTTCAGTTACTGTGTATTGGCCCAGTGGCCTAATGGATAAGGCATCAGCCTCCGGAGCTGGGGATTGTGGGTTCAAGTCCCACCTGGGTCGCATAAACCATAATTAAGATAAGTTTATAGTCCAGCTGTATAAGTCACATGTGGATCAGCTGTTATGTGTCATTTGTCCAACTCAAAACGCAACCTAAATCCTTCACCACGTTTTCCTCTAACTGAACTTCATGCATGCACAACCCAACTCCAACATTTTAAAACATCTTTTTATTGACATAAATACAAACTGCACACAGCAACCATCCACACAGTGGGTGGAGCTTATTGGTCAGGTCTGTGTCACATACTCAGAAACATCCTCCAGACCTGTACACTCATTGTCCAGGTACTCCAGGATCACGTTACCCCCATTATACAGAGGAGCCTCTGGGTGAGCCAGCTGAGAGAGAAGGGTGTCATCCATCCGGAGAGCCTCGCCTGTCTGAGGGTGACACAGTCGCAGCTTCTGCAAATGGAGAGAACAAAGATGTAACATTAAAACATAGAAACCACACTGTGCAGTTTTTCTAGATGCATTTAAGCTGAAATCTTTTTTTTTTTTTTTTTTTAAATATAGAAACAGAAACAACAGTTTAAAAGGACACAGAAAGCAGAAGCAGAAAAGGAGGAAGCAGATAAGACTTCATTTTTGTGTAGAAGAAAGATTAAAGTATCACTAAGAGACCACACATTATTGGTCATAAAAAACAGGAAAATATGCATTGCAACATTATTCAGTGTTCAATTTTAGGTGACTGCTGTAAAACCGACATGAGACATTATCATACAAATCACTTCCTGTGAGCAGAGATCTCTTTGATGCTGTGACATGGTGCAGACAGGAAAGTGTTTGTACTTATCGTCAGCATTTCAGGTTTGATCTATACCAAGATAAAGAGAAAACTCTTCTACGATAAACAGGTGAGCTTTACGGTTGATAGAAATGCTGATTAAAGGGTAAGTCAAGAAAGGACAAAGCACAGTGAGAGGTCGAGGAAGCAATTCAACTGTTTAGTGGTAGCTGTAAATGTGCAATTAGACGTTCTTGTGATAATCTTTAACTCTCCTCCTGGTCGGTTACCTTAGCTGTCAGCACATTGTTGTTGTTCTTGAGGCTGGCTAGAGAGGCTGCATAATCCACTACTTTCCCCACAGTCCATTTGGAACAGAAAAACATGGGCTGGCTGGAGTCTTTAGATTCTTTAGGAAGATACACCTGGAAATATGTTCTCTCTGTCTGGAAAGTCAAAAAAACAACAGTTGGACAAAACAATAATACATCCATTATGTCATGTAATTATGTTAATTTTAAGAAGCTAGGATGGCAGTAAATGTTTCAAACAAAAGCCATGACAGCTAGATTACCTGTGGCAATCCTTTGTCTCCTGCAGCATGCAGCTTCAGCTTCATTAGTGCTACCTTAGCTGCAGTTGCACTGTTCTTTGCTCCTCTGCGTCCTTTCTTTTTGGATCCATCCTTTGACTCTAAACATTCAAAAGAGAGTCATCAAAACAATCCAAATGCAAGTTGGTTCAATCTGAAAGGTGAACATGACTTATGACAGAGATGACAGCGATTTGCTTAATACTGATCCCATGTGGCTGAAAGAGGAACGACAGAGTAGGTGTTGTCTGTTGGCAGCTTGACAAGATACAAACTACTTTCACTGACCTACAATCTTTTGCACCAGCTCTTTGGTTGCTGCCATTCGAGGCTTTTGGACCTCCAGCTTCTCACACTTGTGATCATCTTGATGACGATGGCTGTAAGACAAACAAAAGTAATTCAGTTGATCTGTTCCAGTGATTAATTATGAGCATAGTGTTAGTCCACATGAGCACAGTCCAGCTCATCACACACTGTGTCATTAAAACAGAGAAAGGTAGACCTACGCTAAGCAGAAATGTTTTTCACACTGCGGACAGATAACTGGTAACAACTCTTTTCCTTTGCAGTCTTCAAACGAGCACGGATAACTTGTTGGTCCGCCTGTAGGTCGGGATTCCCTTTTTACTGGCTCCTGCAGAAAAAAGTAAAATGAAAATAAAACACAGCTGTTATATGTTTACAAGGTTGAGGAACTTGATCAGTAGTTGTCCTAATCTTATCAAAGAAAGACAATCAGCACATTATGTCAACAGTGAGCCTACCTCTGAACATGAGTGAGCCTCTCTGCTTCTGTGTTCAAGACTGTAAGAGATTAAACAAAAAAATAGATTAAAAATTAAAATTTAAAAAGACACAACAAACATACCTAGAATGATCAGAGGTGTAAAACAACAAACCAAACTTTTACACTGTACGCGCTTCACTGTACAGCTATGAGACAGGTTTCTAAAGTATTTCTTATTTTTACGTCATACTTTACCTCCACGAGATTTCAGAAGCAATAGTTTAATAGTCTATTATTCAGACAATTAGCTTTTAAATGAATTGTTAAGTAAACAAAATTGTAAAAAATAGTGATCATCATCATAGTATTCTTATTCCCAAGATAACAAATCTTCTAATTTGTCTCACCAACAGTTCAAAAGCTGAAACGTTCCATTTACTGTCACATAAGTTTATCCATTCATACTGTTCGATATTTTGTTCGAAAAACATTAATACTCAATGTTGGACAATTATAATGGAGTGTATAATTATTTAGGCTTCTTGAATTCTTGAATTAAATTTGAAAACTAAACGAGGTACTGTTCTTAAATATATCTTTGGCATTTCTATTTATATTTGTAGTGCTGTAAATAAAGTATTTCAGATTTTGATTATGTATTTTATTTATTTTTTGTTTATCTCTCTTTTGATGACATACTGCACAGTGTCTATTAAATACTCTGTGACTGTAAGTTAAGGGGTTCAATGTCTTCTTTCACTTTTGAAATCACTTGAAGTGGGAAGTTAAAGTTTCTTACCAGAAAACACCACTGCAGGAATCACAAACAAACGGAAGAAAATCTATAAGAACAACATGACAAGCAAATTAATTCATTGTAAAAACCAGAATCAACACAGGCGACAACATCTAGGATTGGTTTTGAATTGAGACACTTGTTTCCATTTTCCCTTGAGTTGATTTATGTGGAGAGCTTGATAAAAAATAAAAATAAAAAAATAAAAAAAAATACTACAGACTGAAAATAGCACAATGATTATACAGAATGAGTTTCACTTAAATTCTTTTGAGGCAATAATCATGTACAGATTCACAACTTGTCTGATTTATCAGTGGTTTTGATTTTGTACATCTGTGTATTGAGGATGTTAAGTTGTCATCGTAATATTATCCTTAGGCATTACAGTTTATCTATTCTGTTCAGTGGAATATTTCATTAAGACTGACAATAACAGAGTAAGGTCTGAGATGCAGTTATAGTAGAAACAGGCTGCTACCAAAGCATCTCTGTGCTGCTGATTCATTAAAACTAGTTTCTGAAACTTTGAACTGAATCAAACTGGTTCACAGGATAACTAAGTAAGAAGTCGAGATGATTTTTTTCACGATACATGTTTGTAGATTTACAGAGGCCGTCTCAACCGACTGAACATTGGTGTTACACAAAACTCACATACATAGTTAGCAGTTAGCTTGCTAGCTAACGTAGCAAGCTAACAGTTGCTTATCAATAGAAACTAAGCTAGCTGTCATGCTAACAATGCTACTGAGACGCTAGCGAGTTTCACATCCAGAGAAACGTCAGATTAGTGTCCCACATCAACAGCTCTATTTATTGTAACTGGGACGAAAGATCAACAGACCTTTCAGACTGCAGGAGTCGATCTGACAGTGTTTCCCAATGTCTAATTCAGCCATTAGCTCCCCGTGAATCAGCCGATCATGTCAACACGAACTTTGACCCCAGAAGTGAATCACGTGACCTAGATTTTTTCGTTTCAATTTAATCATGTGATAAGATTTATCTGACTTTTCAGATTAAAATAAAGATGTGAATTGATTTTTAAAAATTATTTGATAATATATATTTTTTAAAATTAATTTTATCTACAAAACTGCAAAATAAAAAAAATAAAATAATAAAATAAACACTGCCATAATTTATCACACGAAAGTTTAGTCTCAGGAAGTTTATTATTGTATTTTAAATGCAGTAAAGTGAGAAAAGAGGCCCGGGCGGAGAAGTGACAGAGGGAGGGGGTCAGGTATCCACTCGTCACGCAGGTAATGGTGGAAGGTGTGGTGAAAGGTGCGTTCACTGGCTGGTTTGAATTGAAAGCTGAAAGCCGTCGAGCTGGAAAATCTGCTCGTTTCACACCCGCCTGTAGTGATTCTGAAGTTGGACGGCTGTTAAAACTTCGCGTTTTCTAGTTCCGTGCGCAGTTTACTACGAAAATTGCAAAAATGAGCAAATTTCCGAACTTTTTCAAGGGGAGCTCCGGATCCAAGTCCAAACACCACCGGTCCCGGGGAGGCCCTTCACCCCAGGAGGCCATCCACAAACTCCGGGAAACCGAGGAAATGCTGACGAAGAAGCAGGACTACTTGGAGAAGAGGATAGAGCAAGAAATAGCGATAGCCAAGAAGCACGGCACTAAAAACAAGAGAGGTACGTTTTTCTGTCCGTCTGAAAAACAGGTGCACCTGCTGGAAGGAGTCCAGGCTGGGCGCTGAACCAGTAGGCCTCCAGCGGCTCACCGAGCGACCTGGTCTCTGTTTTAATCATTCTGAGGCAAAAAATCTGAGCAAAACTCATTTTACTTATTAAATGAGGTTCTTAACCCCCTGAAAAGTCATAGTTTGGGACTATTTCCTTTTAATTTAGCATTCCTGTATTCAGTCGTCATGTAAACAGACAGCCCATGTCTTATTCCTAAAAGAGCACTTAATAATAAATATTCATACATGACATTATGTTTTGTTTTGTTTTATTACCATGGAAATGGAGGACATGGAGGACAATGACGACACTTTTTTTTTGGTAAAACAAATCTAATCTGTTCTGTCTCTTATCTTTGTTTTATAACGAACCTACTTCTCAGTTTATTTCCTGGTTGTCACACTTCTTGACCACAAGTGTTTCAGGCTGATGTGTCAAATGACAAAAGCTTTGATGTACACAAAACTAATCAGCTGTGATCGAAATTAAAGAGTTATGTTTGGAAGATACTTTTATTATTAATTACAACTGCCATGATAGGTCAAATAATTGATTACTTGTCATCTATTAAATTAATTGACAACTGATTAATACATGTGAGTGTATTTTTAAGTTTTAAAAAGTCTAAATACTCTGATTACAGCTCCCTAAAAGTGGATGTTTTCTGGTTTCTTTCCTCCTGTGCTACAGTAAACTGAATATGTTTGGGTTGTGGACAAACGAGACGCTGGAGGATGACGTCATGGGCTTTGGGAAACACTGATCAATATTTTTTTTGACATTTTACAGCCAACAACTGATCGATTAACCAAGAAAATAATCAGCAGGTTAATTTGTAGTGAAACAATCATTAGTTTCAGTCATTTTAATAACAAAACAACAGGATAAACTTATGTCACCTCAGCTGATGAGCCTGACATCCATATTTGTATACAGACCTTAAGCAGCCTGTTTCACAAAAACCAGGTTGAGCTGCAGACAGGGTTTAAAGATGTTAAATAACGCCTGGATAAACACCCTCTAAGATTATTAGCCTACATGGATTATTTATAAGGTGTCTCCCACTGAACAAATTAAGTTCTGACCACAGCAGAAAGTCACAGATTTGTAACAACAAACCAAAAGCATCTTATTAAAGCCTCACAGGAAACCTACAGTAGGAGCCAGTATGAAGTGTTTGCTTAGCTGCATTGCTTGTTGAATCACCTCTGACTAAAAATAAACTTTGCCATGTGAAGGGAGGAACCAGGTATGTTTTGTCTGTGCACACCCAATACGTCTCAACCGGAGCAATGACAGACGTTAAATTATCAGAAAGAGTCGAACACAGTTAAACTCTAACTGTTGTGTTTCAGCTGCTCTGCAGGCCTTGAAGAGGAAGAAGCGTCTGGAGCAGCAGCTCACCCAGATCGACGGGACGCTCTCCACCATCGAGTTTCAGAGAGAAGCTCTGGAGAACTCGCACACCAACACGGAGGTGCTGAAGAACATGGGCTATGCTGCCAAGGCCATGAAGAAGGTCCATGAGAACATGTAAGACGCTACAAGAGATGAATAGGGATTGAAACTTTGGTAAAACGATGGCTTTTCTACCAGAGGTAACAGCAGCATGGTTGTGTTTATCTACCAGAAGTTCCTCCTGTTGAACTGCACACTGATGATTTTGGTTTTTGAACAACAGTGTGCAACACAAATTAATTTAAAATTCATTTTTAATTATCATTTTGAAAGGGAGAAAGGTGAAACACATGACCAAAACATAAGATTAATAAATGTTAATAATACTTATCTGCAGCTGTCGCATGACATAATTCAATACAAAGAATCCTAAAATATGAACATATTATAACAGTGTTTGGAGACGAAATATGTTCATGTGTAGACAGTCTCTCCTGTTTTGTCTCAGCTTAGTGTGCACACTGCACCTTCTTCACTGTGATAATTTTCTACCATTTAAAGTTAATCGCTTCCATCTTTTTTTTTTTTTTTATAGCAACCAAATATTGACAAAAACAAGAAAGTCATTGCTTTATGTGAGGGGAAAAAAGTGTTTACAGTGATGTTGCATCTGTTTTCTGTCTCCCCTCTCACTCTCAGGGACGTTGACAAGATAGACGATCTGATGGCTGACATCACAGAGCAGCAGGACGTGGCCCAGGAGATCAGCGAAGCCATCTCCAGGCCTTTCGGCGAGACATTTGATGAGGTCGCTGCTTTGAGCATCTCTGCCTGTTCATGTTGATATTGTGCAATCAATTTATTTTCCTTTTTTTTTTTTTGCACAGATTTTAAAATACGCTTCTTGTGCGTCACCTGCTAATCTAGTTCCTGTTTGCCGGATGTGTTTTTTCAGGATGAGCTGCTGGCAGAGCTGGAGGAGTTGGAGCAGCAGGAGATGGAGGAGAACATGAAGAGCATGGGCGGGCTGCCCAGCGTTCCCAGTGCCAAGCTGCCTTCATCACGGCCCAGTCAGCGCGCAAGTAAGTCCACAATGCTGCAGGGTTCTAAAACATTAAAGAACAGGTCAATTTTTCCACCTATGACTGTACATATTTCAAAATATAAAAAAAAACACAGTTTAACAATCATACCTACAACATACATGTATGATATTTTTTTGACATGTAGTTGGTACTGACAAAAATACCAGCAGAAAAGCAAGAATACTTATAAACTCCACTTTTTTTTATGTTTATTTTATGTAATATTCATTATTTTATGTTTCATATTGCTAGTTTGCACATCAAAGAAATACCTATGATAAGGATTTGTACACAAAGACAGTCACAAATATATATCTAAACTTAGAGTAAACAAAAGCTTGTTTAAGATAAGATAGACTCTTGTGTAGAAGAGGAAGGAAGACCTCTAAGTATGCAGCAAAAATTCTACAACTAAATAAAGGATAAATATTTTTTAAAATCCAAATTTGAAAAGGGGCTATTTTTTTCAGAATAAAAGGTGCTACGTCTGAGCCAAGCACAACATATTTGAAGAAAATACTTGGTTCTACCATCAATATTAGAGCAGAAACTCAACCCTGACAAATATTCCACCATAATTTAACAGTATTATTTAATTGCTTCCTACTTTTTTTTTTTCCAGCAACCAGGAGAAAGGCAGAAGAAGAAAACGACATGCGTATGCTGGAATCGTGGGCGATTTAAGTACAATGAAATGGTCTCTAGAGAAAGTAACACAAAACTATATGAAGATCTCTTTCTCTTTTTTACTTTTTATATTGTAGTGGAAGGTTTTTAGGGAAATGAAGAGCATAATGCCATTTAAAATAAGCTTTTTTCTTATAAGCTTGTCACTTATCTTTATATTTATCATTAAATTAAAAACTCTAAGTGAAGGAATCAAGAAACTGCATTTTACATTTAATGTTTCCACGTGTCTCTTATTTTCTTTTCCCTTTTTCTCCTCTAATCATTCTGAAGTAACTTGTACAGAGTGCACTGCTTTTCATAGACCTAAAGTGTAACAAGGATACGACTGATGCTTTTATAGCACAGTTCAGAACTGTATCATGCAGCTGTAAATAATTTCTGATTTTACATTAATGTTGTAAATACGTCGCTTTAAAACTGTCCAGCAATAAAACTGTCCCTTGCATGTTATCTCACTGTGTCTGTGTGCTAATTTTGAATAATATTATCCGACTGTCTATCCTTTATAATGGAGATAGAAGAGATAGAATGTAGATACTGGACGGCCCTTGGCATGATTTGCTGCATGTCAGTCCCCTTCTTTTCTCCACAACTTCACTTGAATAAAGGCAAAATGCACAAAAAATACCTTAAAAAAGAAATATATAATTACATAAGGTGAACATAGTGGTAGCAGATAATCAAAAGAAGGATTCATGTAAGAACTGTCCAAGATATCTTTGATAGGACTGTTTTGTAAGCCCCACTGGGTCGTTGTGCTGCTCAAACGATGCTGTGAAAGTCCACAATGTTTGGACACAAGATGGACTAAACAGAGAATGCATGAAGTTTTAAAATGAACATAACTTGCAGCTTCTAAACATGAAGGGACATTACCATACATTGAGCCTTTGATGCATGTTGTGTAAAGAATTTTAATTGAATATGTTCTGTGACAAATTTGAGTTGCTCTTGAGAGCAGCCTCTCTTGTTGTACTACGTAGTGTGCAATAAACCTACAAGTAGCCCTAAGATCACTGACTCTGCTCATACATGTTCTTTCCAAGTGTGTAGCCTAATTTAGAATAATTTAGTGAATGTGGTAGTCAGATAAATATTGCATCACAACCATTAATTGATTCTGAAGAAGACTAATGATACAGAAAGTGCCACCCTGACAGGAGGGACTGCTTAGGTTTGAAACACTGACTGTATGAATCCATGTTTTAGAAACTACTATGACCAGGCCTTCTCTGTCAGGGTCCCTCAGCTTTGGAACGACCTGCCTGAGGAGATAAGCCTCGCTGAATCAATAACTTATTTTAAATCACTTCTTAAAACCCACTTTTATAGACTCGTCTTCAAGTAAAGTTCTCTTTTATCACTCTCTGCCCTTTAATCCATTTATTTTCTTTTTTTTATTGCTTGTAGTAACTCCTTCTAACCTCCTGATCTTAATCTATTTTTATCCTTGGTTTTCTCTTCAGCTTCTCTCTTAACCCTGTTGTGTGATGTTGTCCTTTTAACCAGTCTTTAAACTAGATATCCATTCTGTACATTTTCATATTTTATGGTGTGTATTTACATGTGTTTGCATGCGTTATCTATTTATTATTTGGTTTTTACCTGTGTTTGCCCTGTCCTGTCTGATATTTTAACTGTATTTTATATTGTATCTGTCAAAGCACTTTGTGAATTGGTTTTCTTAAAGGTGCTATACAAATAAAATTATTATTGTGGAAATGCTCAGTAATGGCATTAACTGCTTATACATCTGCTGGCATATAAAAAGAAAAAAATGTTTTAAAAATCTTGATCTTCAGTAAACAGGGTCTTTAATTGTTGTATTTATGTGCTGTTCTTGTGTATTATTATCTTTGACAGTTTGTTTTATGGGCTTTAGATAAGAATTTTTCTGGATGCATGTTCTTTGCAAGGTTACCTGGTTACTTCTGACATCATTATTAGACTAAGACTTGGTCACTGCGCACTGAATCATATGCTGGTGATGTTTGTCAAGCACCCTGATGGGAAATAGATCTGAACCATCACAAAGAGAGAAGTCTCATGTTAGCAGAGCAGTCAGAAACTGGAGGACCAGCTCACTAGTTGAAATCAATACTCAACGTGGAACATCGTGAAGCAACAAATTATATAGTTAAGTTTTTCCACCACCCTGTACTCCACGTAAGAATTTAACTGTGAAAATGGAGTTCCACCAAATGACCTGCGGGGGGCAGCACCGCGCCTCCACTGAGCTTCAGTCTGCCGCAAACACGAGCAGCAGCAGAAGAAGAACTTCTGTCATCAGTAGGAAGTCCTCCGGCTAACGAGCCGCCCGAAGTCACACAGGACCCAAGAAAGACCAACACCGGGAATAAAACGGAGTATGGAGGCGAATAAACCAACTGAGACGGCAGGTGAGGCAGTAATTGTATTATTACTTTAAAACTTTGTAAATTCACAAACAAATAGGAGGCGTTTCCGGGGCTAATAAAGTTAGCATAAAGTTAGCAGCCAGTTCCGAGGCTGTGAACCGGATTTTGACACGTTTCATACGTAGCTGCTGTCATAAAGAGGAAGCAAAAACTAATAAAGCATATTTCAGTTTTAATTACACAGTTATAAGCTATTAGATATATACCGTCATGTGACTTTTCTGAGAGGTTATGCGTAGCTACTGTGGAAACTCGTTTTCCGCTTTAGTGGCGTCAGAAAGTCGTTCTCTTGAAGAAGTTACCTTGATGGATTAAAGTAAAACATTTGACCAGATTGTCCAATTAACTTAATTACTACACAAACCAATCAATATTGTTAAGTTTTCCGCAAATCTAAAGTTGGATAATAATAATAACAATTCATTTTATTTGTATAGCGCTTTTCAAGAACTCAAAGACGCTTCACGGGATAAAAGCAATAAACAATAAGCAACTAATACAAAAGTAGACAACACAGAAATACAGCAAGCAGATTAGACAAAAATAGATTGATTTAACAGTTTATATTTATAGAAAAACGTGCTTTAAATACGAATTAATTATTCCTACAAGAAAAAAAACAGGCAAATTCTTACATCCGTCTGTAAACCTTGTGCATCCTTAAATCATAAATCGTAAACTACTAAATTTCAGGCCCACAAATTAAAAAACAAAACCAATACAATACTGAGAACATGACTTAGGAAACTGGTTTTGCAATATAATCTTTTTAAGCTTTGGTTCAGTATTTGTTGTGACATAGATTTAGTACGTGATGGATGATTACAACATGAGACACTTTAAAAATATGAATTGCTTTGTTTTTTAATACAAGGGTGTGACCTTTAAGGTATAAAGCTTAGCTTTAAATATTCATTTATTACATATTTTAAATTTCACAGGCGATAGAAGAGTTATTACAAAAGCTGGTACTCTGATGTCAAATAGATGAAGTAGTAATGATAAAAATATAATTAATACTAATAAGAAAGCATGAGGGCCTTTCAGTAAACAATCTCTGACATTAAAACAGGTAGGTCATTCATGGCTCAGGAGCAGCATCAAGTGTTGCATGTCCTGCAATCAAGTTAAATAACGTAATGATAATAAACCTGACCAGTTGCATACTGTATATCCTAAATTGCAGCTGTTACAATTTGCCAGTTGCTTTGTTTCAAACTGCGATTTCTAGTAGAAAATTATTCATTCTTCAGCCTTGGATATGACCTCTGTGAAAAAGGTGTGAAAAAATACTTTGACACTGTCCTGCATGCTAACACTGACTCACTGGTTCACTTATTGCAGCCACAAATGCTTCTGGATCGGAAGAGGAGGCCAAAAAGGCAGCAGCTGCAGCCAAGATAGCCAACCGTCTGCCTGAAATCCGTCTGGTGGTGGTGGGCTGGAGGTGGCCGGGGAAGAGCTTAACAGGCAACACCATCATAGGCCGAGAGGAGTTTCGCTTGGAACGAGCGGCCGAGTTCTGTGTCACGAGGCAGACGGAGGTGCAGGGTCGGCAGGTGACTGTGGTGGACACTCCAGGCTGGTTCTCTGCCCAGGATACCCCCCCTAGCTACAAACAGGAGATAGTCAGGGGAGCCTCTCTTTGTCCTCCAGGTCCACATGCCTTTTTGCTTTGCATCCCAGTTGGCATGTTCACAGAGTTGGACCGTGCTCGCATTGAGGAGCATGTCAGCCTCTTTGGGGAAGATGTGTGGAGGCAAACGATTGTGGTGTTCACCTGGGCTGAGGTATTGCGGAGCATTTCCATCGAGAGGTATATTCGGAGGGAGGGCAAAGAGCTGCAGTGGGTGCTGGAGAAATGTAAGCGCAGGTACTTTGTTATCAACAACTGCATATTTGGGGAGCATCCCCAGGTAGGACGCTTAATGGAGAAGGTGGAGAAGGTGGTGGCAGAGGAGGGGGGCCACTACAAACCAGTGGAGGGGGAGAAGGAGGAGAAGAAACCTCTGGATGAGAACCAAAATCCAACCAGAGATGTCCAGGAGCTGGGGGCCCGACCCAAACAGCAGTCTGGACTGGGTGTGTCAAAAGCCATGGAGGTGGAACCGCTTCCAAGTGAGTGATGACTTTATCTTGGCTCAAGAGAAAGTAAAGCTCAGATGTAAATTTCAAGCATTAAAGTAGCTACAATCAATATCTATACTTTAATAACTCACATGGCCACTTGTATGTGAAAGGGACAAACAAAATATCCCGACTCTTCAGTTCCCCTCAACTCTACGGAGATTTATAGCAACTTTGAGCTAGTTGTCTTAATCTTCTGGCAATTTTTACTGTTTCTGATTACTCTCGTTACAGTCATCTGTGTTGCTGTTTGAGTAAAAAGTTCTATCATCCCTACTGTACAGTAACTGCTTGTCACCAAACAGCAGAAAAAGTTAATGACACATTTGTTAACTTTGCTATTAAGTTCATTATATCAGCTTAAAATGTGGAATGCTGCTCCCCATTACAATAAATCTGAAACAACTGTTGGCTGATTTATAGATTCGGCGGATGTGATGCAACATTATCATTACTTTGTATAGTTACATGTGTAATGTAAGTCCAATATTTACACTCCTTTTAGGTTTTGATTGTGGCCCTACCGTGAGCTGCTAAATAGTTTGTTATGTTAACCAGCTAGCTGTTTGTTGCTGAGTTAGTATCATATAGTGGGGGGTTTTAGAGGTTTTTACTGAAAACAGCTGCCTGTTGTGGCATAAAAACACGGCACAGGAGTCATGAGAGTGAACCAAAACAATAGAGGTGTGGGTCATACAACCAAACAAAGAGCTAAATGTCAAAAACTGTCCACAGAGGTGAGGGGAACTGCAGAATTAAGTGATAATTCTCTGTGGGTTAATCACAACTAACAACTCGCACACCACAATCCATTGCTACATATTGGCACAGCTGCTTTAAGGAAGTGAAGGCGTTACTTCATATGCACAGGTCAGCCTTGCTTCAACTTATCACGGTTTCATTGTAGGAATGTGGTTTCGATTGCATCTTACCTTTCTACAAATACGTACATTTGGAATTTCCCCCATGTCTCTGTGTCTTAACCCAAGACAGACACACCTAGAAACAGAACAAAACTTCTTCCTCTCTAACTCCACTGTAACAACAGTGATATCACAGCAGCGTATTAAAAGACATGAAAGTTAAGCTTGTTCATATGTCAACTGGGGTCCTGATATAAATAAATTAATAGCGCTGTGTGTTTGGTTCTAGATTAACAAGACGCTTTTGGCCGATGGACCCACGAGTCGCGGAACCTCCCCCTTCCTGTTCTGATGGCAAAACTGCTTATGTGACAAACAGAAAAGGGTAAATTACTGAAATGTTACTGAATGTACAAACCAGTGTGATTGATTCTATTTATTTTTATAATCAGACATGTTACTGCGTGTTTTCGCTGTGTGCATTCTTGATGATGCATACACTGTCACTGTTATATAAGAGGCCTTCTCAACATAGTCCCCTGGGTTCATGCTGTCTGCACATTTATTTACCCATTTTAACCTGTAATGATATTTGGAAAACGTATGTAAAAGTGTCTTGAGCACTGTGTGACAGAAAGGATGTATTTAAATCTACAACAACGAAGCACAGGCTGTTACACAGAAAGTAGCCACCATTTTCAAACCCAGTGTGTACACTCCTCAGTCATGGCAGATACCAATGGCAGAACTGCACTACTAAACTGTTGCTATAACATTCTGTTGATGACTGTTAAAGATATTGTTTTTCCCATTTGTTGTGACCAAACTGTAAATGCTTTTCTTTTGCTGCCGTGTTTATTATACAGCTATGTGTGTACAGTTGTAAAGCACTTGAACAGTTAGGGATTTTTGTCTGATGTGTGTTGCTTTTTAAAGTAGTTATTGAGTTTCTTATAAATAGATCTTTTAGATGATTATACTACTTTGTGGCAAAGGGATATATTCAAGGAAATGATGTGCTATCCTATAGGACTTCTGAGTAGTAGATTGATCTATTAGTCACATAGTTAACTAGTTTGATGAAACCATGTTAAACTAAAAATCCCAAATAATCACCATTTAGGATCCTCAACTGTTATTTTGTGCTTCTCTTCTTTGTTGATAATCTGTTTTAAAATAAATATCTTTGGGTTATGGACAAAACAAGCAATTTCAAGTTGTAATATTTAGTTGTAGAAGACCATAATAGGTATTTTTGGCATTTAAAATCATTGTTTTTTTAAGTACATAGACAAAATGATTAATCAAAGATGTAGCAATACTATGTGCCTCCCATCATAGTGATGCAATTGTTTTTCAGGTAAACTGAGGGTTGATTGACAGTTGATTACTGTTCTACTGTTTAAAGCTGACAATGAACTGTTTGCAGACTCTAAAACAAGGGCTCAGTCTCCATGATGAAAGTGTTTGGCAGCTGTTTTTGTGGGACACGAGAGGTTTCTCAGGGGAACACTTGTGTGGCACCTAATGAGGGGACATTTCCATCCAGGAAAAGCTAGAAAGACGACACTTCAAGAACCTTGTCATTGTTTTCCTTTACAAGCCACGCTTAGAGCTGACCACTGAAGTGCCTTTCTTTTTGCCTCTTTGCATCAAAGCTCTTTTGTGCAGCATTTCCACTTTATAATCACATCTTTTAACTTTCTCAGAAACATTTTTGTGATCATTAGTAGTGCTATGCAGCAACATTTGTATGAATAAAACAACGCTTTGATTATTTCATGCACATGTATTAACAATATTCCACTAATTTACATGCACATGGACAAAGCAGATCATACTGAATATAAAGCACATCCTTGTTGATACAAACTGCATCAGATGCTAAGCGTACGTGTTGTTTGTTTACAAGAAAGCTGTCGGTCACATTTGTTTTTATAAAAGGGAGAACTTTGGTGGAATCTAGTGTAGTTTTTAGCTTCTAGCAGGACAGCAAACCTTTATGCTTGCTGTAATTGTATAGTGGGCACCATTGGGTAAGCATGAGATAGATAAAATGGGGGCATGTTGTCAGGGCAGCCAGATTAAGTGCTCTTCTGTGAGCAATCAGCGGGACTCATTAAGTGCTTTTTCAAGGAGATTGTAGCTCCTTCTAACAGGGAAGAGTCAGCTGCTTTAGACAGACTCTTGAATCTTCCATTAGGAGGCGTGGAACTGTTCTAATAAGCCCTTGACTACTCCCTCCTCTTTGTAATCTGTGCAGAGCTCCGGATGAATCAGGTAGTTGAAATACACTAACATAGTTGCGTAGCGTGTTTTGTAAACCAGTTTATTTCTACCTTTAATGGGGCAAAAAGCAAATACCTGCCTTGAACATATCCCTCTACTACACACCTCTATAACTGCCAGTTTTACTCACTTGTACTCTTTGAGATGCTGTTAGGTTTAGATTAGCTTAACTGGGTGTAAATCAGGTACGAGTAGAGCAGCTGGGATTTCCAAAGTTGGAAATCCTTGCCTTCAGTTTTTAGTTCTTTGTAAAAAAAAACTGCTGGTTTTCTTTCTTATCATCAAATTTGGACCTTTTATTCCACTGGGAGACCTGGTGACCAAAATAGCTGAATAGAAAACCAGCAAGGTCCTGAGAGCCTTGATATAAATAAAACAACTGAATTAAAACCAATTACTATGAGAATGCTCTGTATACTATAGGTCTGTTTCTTAGATGTAGCCATTAGTGTTTTGTTCATCTTCACGAGTGAGTACAGCAGATTCTATTGTACACTCAGATGTGCACTATGACTGTTTGGGTCAATACTGAAGCCAGAGGAAGGAAAGAGGTCTACTGTAGACCCGTTTCCTGCAAGTCCCTGAGGAGTAGATTTAAGGAGTTGAATAGTTCAAAACACTGCTGCAGACGTGGGAAAATATGTGTATTATTTAAAGGGAGAGACTCTTTAAAGTTATGGCAACAGAATTAACACATTGACTGAACAAAAAAAGATTTGTAACAAGTAAATGGCTACTGTATATATATGTATATGTAGGACACTGGCTAAAGCTGCTCTGAGGCATGTAACCTGATATAACACACCTTTGTAGCAGTGTGTCTTCCTGCGTTGACCTTGTTTTGCTTTGTTCCCATGATGCATTTCTGAGTCAAGCATCTGAATCAAGTTACAGTTTAGACATTCATGAATAAAGACGAGTCACGTCTCTGTGCTTTCGCTGCGGCCCATGCAGCGTGTCCTTTTGACCGACACTATTTAGGTTCACATGTAATTAAAATGGAACAGCTGTGTTGTACCAAGAGCTGACTGTTTTTGTTTTCTGTTAGGTCCAAATAAATGTCTATATTTTGATGTAGTTTTCTGCCTTTTTCTTGAAACGTGGCAAATTGAGATTCACTTTCTCAAGGACTTTATTAGTTAAATATATCTCAGTTGTGTTCATTTGGTGTTACAAGCCTTATGGGTCACAAGCCCGACAATAAGGTTGTATATGAGCATATCAATTTTAGCAAAAGCTTTGAAATTTATCAGGGATTTTAATTATTATTGACTAATCTGCTTCTTTGAAATGTTAAAAATGTGAGTCTTATTAGATATTTTTCACATAAAAGAAGCAAATCCTCACTTTTGTAAAGCTGCAACCAGAAAATATTTAACAGTTTTGAATGTAAAGTGACAGATTTGGTAATTGATTGCACATTTATTAAATGCAGTAAGGAGAAGACTCGGTGATTTACTCATTTTGAGGTTTGGATTTATGACACGCTGCTGCATTAATGCCAAATACTATATATTTCCTTTACAGATAGCAGTTACATTCTCTACTTTGCCCACTAGATGGGAGTAAAACATCAGGTCACACAAAAATGTTTACAGCAGCAGTAGCAGCATGATTCACAGCACTGGTATGACCTTGCCTGCAATAGATTCATTAACTTGATTTGGAGTCTGCAATAGCTGCCTGTCTGGCTATTAACACCCACTTATTATTGTTTTAGAACACGCAGGGCTTGTGTTTGTGTTGCACACTTGATTAATTCTTCACTCTCTTCGATTAACAGCTCTAGTTCTATAGACGTATAATTAGGGTCCGAGCACCCAAAAGGGTGCGAAGACCCTATTGGAACTGCTCG